AAAAGACCTGGAAAAATGTWGTAGTGAGGCACAAACAGAAAATGAAATATTTCAAGTTGATGAACCATCATAACCATGAGTCTAGTTTTGGATCTCTTCCTTTTAATCTATATTAGTTTCTCCACATGTGCCCAGGACTGTTCTGGGGTCCCTAGGCCAACTGGCGTGGAATGACCCACGTCCTTACACTTTAAGTCTCTTACAGTCACAAATAGCATGGTAAGGTCCAAATTGCTCATTGGGAATGGTCCTTGGCCCATGCTAAATCCCAAATCATGCCCAGGAATTGTTTTGGAAGAGTGATAGTTCGCTCTGGCCAAAGCTATCACAGGCACTGTTCTAGCAGTTTAATGGGATAAATGGTCAAGTTTCAGGCATGGGAACATTCCCTGGCACTGATTATTCTGCTTCTATCGATGCAACCATGGAAGCTAAAACTAAATAAATACTGTTATTGGGAAAAAATAGCCCTTAGGCTATAATTATTTTAATAAATTATTATTAATATTCTTCATCTGTAAAGTATGGGATAAAATTCAGTCAATACRGTGTATGCTATATCTCAGTTTTCAGAAAGAGAACTTAAACATAAGCAAAATGGAATTTTCCCTGTGTTATCCAAAATATATACATTCTCCAAGGGAACAAGAACTGGAATAGAAAAACCTACTTTCCATACCTCAGTTAAAAGCCACACCACTCCCTCCCCCAAAGATGTTATACAAAATCTGCTGTTAAAATATACTGTTCAAAGAATACTTTCCTTACAAAAAGTATGCATTGCAGTGCTCCCAGTAGGGTTTTTTTTTTCTTTATGCTCTTAAAAGAAAGCAACCATTAAAACAAAAATTCTCCAAAGGATTTTTTGTTAGCTCTGTGTTTATTATTCCCACTTGCTAATGCACATGCAAATGACATATTGAAAAAGAAATAGTGGATTAAGATCTGCGAGAGCTACAGCTTGTCCTGYAGGTTTCAAATTGTGATTTGCATGAAGTTAAAGGTATCAGGACGTCCAGATTTTCTAAATTCTGAATTTTCTGAAAATTATAACCCAGATTCTCATGGAACTAGCAGTAAGCCCTGCAGGACAATGCTAGTCAAATCCCAAAAGCTCACAAATGTCTTTCAGCAGCCTGATCTTAAAAGTGAAGTCCTGTTTTAGCTGAATTCAGCAGCAAACCTCCCTTTGGCTTCAGTGCATCAAGTTTTCATGGAGTGCCACAAGTCCAAAAGTATTTCTCATCATTGCCCATTACCAGACCAGATATTACCAGGAACTTCCCCAGACCTTGTTTTTGAAGGAGAGCTTGGTAATACCTACTAGTAATATACAATAATAATATATTAATAAATACAAAGAAATAAGTAATGTGCTTCCCTCTGTGCCTCTTTGAGTAACTGGAGATGAGCAGATGGGAAAGGTCTGCTGGCTACAGCTGAGCTGATAAATGAGGAGCACAACGCTAGCTGGCTGGCAAAATGAAGAAGAAATCTCTATAGGAATGTAGTTGCATACTTAGGTTTGTTTACTGATGTAAAGGAAAGAAAAATGGTTGGGTTTTGTTCAGTCCTTCTGAGAGCTGGAAAATATGAGTTCTTAGCTAATTGTGCTTGGCTTTGTCATGGTTGTTTGGTATCCATGTTACATGGAGCTTAGGAGTGGTAGTCATCTTTTCTGTTCTGTCTGTGTGTGTATTCAGGTCTTTTTATTATATYATGAAGACATTTTTACTTTATGTATAGCATGTATTTTGTGTATAATATGCAGATACAGTCAAACTGCCATAAATCTAGGATTAGAAAATGTTGTTTTAGTATGACCTTATTTATTTATATGCAGTCATATGAGGAAATATAACAGAATATTGTTGATATATGTTTTAAATAATGCTAATAACTGGGAAAAAGTGCATGTATCTAGCATATAAAAGTAGTTCTGCCTCTACCAGTATTGCTATAAGTAGCAGAATCAAGGACTGCYGCGTAGCAGTCTGGGCAGCATTTATACACAGTCTGCAGCAAATAATATGAAAATATGAGGTATTTTATGAGCAGTCCAGCAGGAATGCTTTCACGGCCTCAAAATAGGTCTCATATTCCTTGTTATTGGAGAGGCCAATAAAATATAATGGGTGTTAATGCAGTATGACATGTTGCTGGATAATTTTTAAACACTTTTTAATGTCTGTATGGCGCCTTATGCACATAAATGCCTTAGTAGTCAGGCAAACCACAGGATCTCTGTGGCAAGTAAATCAAATTTGAATTGAAGCTTTTGCTTTAGTAAAAGTTCAGTCTTTCAGCATCCCYGGTGTACATTTACTTAAAATCTGTGTGCTGCAAGTGTTGAGGTCTGTTGAGGGTTTCTCACTGAAGTCATTACCCTTGCAAATCTTTTCCTAATAATCTTTGCTATCTTTATGCTCTAGATCACCATACAATGGTTTGATTTGGGTTTACTAGACTGAGCTCAGTCTTCCTAAACATCCTGTATCTGTCAGCCTTCCCATCCTGTGAGCCACCATGTCTGCATGATCCCCATGAGATCACAGCTCTGCAATTGCATGCAGACTCCTAACATTTCCTTCTTGTTCTCCATGGTGAATGTGCCAGGGTGCTGGCACTTTAGAAGGACACCCAATCATACTGATTTCCTAGGAGAGTCGAGGGCTATGTCCTTGCTGTCCCTTAGGTRCTTCCTTATTTATGTGTACACGCTTGAAGCGGACCCAGCTAGACCTGTTATGTTGATTATCATCTCCCTTCTGCCCACATTATGCCCACTTACCAAATCAGTCCACCACTTCCTCAGTTGATTATTGGTCCTCTTCTCCCTCTCCCGTCTTTCCTAATTTAAAGCTCTCCTCATCAGATTGGCCATCCTGTTGGGAAAAAAGTTTGGCTACACTTAAGTGGGTCACATGTCTTGCAAGCAGTTCTTGATCCTCAGAGGGTCCGTGAACATAAAAGCCAAATTCCTGTTACTGAGATTACCTGTGCAAACACTTATGGGCTTGCAGGATCCATCCACTCCTTTCCAAGCCCTTCCCTCTTGCCATCAGGACTGAGGAGAAAACTACCTAGGTTACCATGCCCCTGCTCATTTCCAAGATCAGCATGAAGCTTGTTAGTACTGTACTTATGATAACATTTTTTTTAAGAATTTGCACCTCATGATAGCAAAAGCCATTTCCACTGTTCTCTTGTGTCCCTTCTGCTCTCCTCACTCTCCTTCTTTCCCATTTAACCCACATGCAAGAGATAAAACCAGGGCTGGAAGATGCTAGTCTCTGAAACGACAGCCCAGCTTTTTGGTGATCCTACTCTTCCTCTGCTAGAAGGGAAACTAAAACTTACTAGTACTTCAACCAGATCTGTTGGTTAAAGAGATGATTAAAAGCTTGTCATGATTTTAAAATGATTAAAAGCTTGTCATGATTAAAAGCTTGTTTTGAGTTTTGCTCATCTTCTTTGTAGCTTGGACTCAGCAAATTGGTAATGATACTTTCGCAGAGCTACAGAAGAACTCTGTCCTAGTTCAAGATATGGCATGCTGTTTGTGCGGTATTTGCTTTCCCTCTAGAGAAAAAAAGAGTTACCGAGCATTTTTTTTCTTTTGTTTCTGTGATATAAGTAAATATCTTTGGATGCTGGAAGTTAACCTTTCCCCAGCCTTTAGGAGCTGGTGTCCAAACACTTGGGTTTGCCAGGGTAATCAAAAAGTCAAGCAAGTTGATGCATGAGTTTTATTCATCAACTTGTCTGCATTCCTGCCTAGCTCTGCATTTTTAATGATTATCTAGTTTGGCTCAGCAGATTTACACAGTTCACACTTCATTATCCAACAAACACAGAATATTGAGAAATGGTCTTAGGCTGTACAGCTTTTTCTGCAGTTTTGGGGTTTTTTTTCCTGGTTGGGCCCTAGAGTTTTGAAACCCCTGGTGCCACAGTGAAGTTAACCGGCACAGATTTCTGCTAATGGTCTGGGATGCCATTGTGTGTAAATTAGCATGGAAAGAGGCTGACAGATGGTGGGTTTCCACCTTCTCTTCTCAAAGTGGTTTGATGTATTGGAGGACACTTGAGTGCTTTTTCTGGCACAGATCATGGCTTAGGACTGGATTTAAAAGTGCCAAAATGTTGAGAAAAAGCTCTGTTGCCAACAAAAGTCATTCCCAGCCTTTGCTTTGGGTATATATTTGGTCACAGAGAACTCYTCTGTCATCAAATCCTCCCTAGTCAAATATGATCGAGTCCTGGAACTGGCTGAGGTTGCATCCTATAGCCTTTGAGAGGCTCTTTGCCAAGTGCAGAAACACACATTCCTTTTGGCCAAGGACATTTTATTGTGTTCTTCCTTTATATTATCCTGTGGGAGCTGTCACAAGCAAAATATGAATTAAGAGCCGTGAATGCATCTTTTGCAATAAGTGTAAACAAAAAAGAAGGCAAAAGCAAACTTAGGATTAGGRTGAATTGCTTCTCCTTAATGCCTTTATTTCTCAATTACTATTTGTCTTGCTTTTGGCTTTTGAAGTATATGTAGTAATGCTTAAAACACTAGCTATTTTATCTTGTCTGTTTTCACTGTGGACACTGCTGAAATCCTTTAAAAAGGTACTCCCATATCTCCAAGGTGAAAAGAAACGTAATTCTTTGCTGTTGGATAAAAAAGACTGTTCTCACAGAGGAGCACTATTCAGCACTGGGGAAGGAAGGTATTAAGTGCCAGTGGCATTGCCTTCTCAAATGAGGTGACTAGGGCAAAGAAAAGCTAATGTACTCACACAGATTAGTGGCAAAGTGAGGGAGGAAAATGTAACCCTGAGGAGATCCATTCTGGAAAAAGCCAGCACGAAGTATGTGAACTGCTTATCCAAACAGTTGCTTTGGCTTCAGCTCCACACAGATGTAAGCATGGGGCATGGGACACAATAATTTCACATTTCATATGGATTGACTGCTTTTTTGACTATTTTTTTTTCTTTTTATAGGAACCCAGACCTTTGTATAACAGAAGGTGCCAGTTTTATTCAAGTGGAGTAGGATTCCTATATGATGCCTACCAGACAGAGGTAAACAAAGCAACATCATGACATGCTCATTTCCATTGTGATTTGGGGAGCCGGGTCAGAGGGACAAATGCTTGAGAGGATTTCTGCCCTACAGRCACTGATGGAAACCCAAAAGTTTTTGTCTCCACAAGTAAATCCTCACATGTCCAAGCCTCCCATCACTGTAAATCATTAAACCCAATGAAAATTTGAGCCATCTTCACTGTTGTTATTCAGGGTATTTACTCTGGAACTGAAATGATTCCTAGCCTATATAAATTGGATAATAGCTCTCTGGAATGTATTTGTCACGTTGGCATCTTTCTCTAAGAAGACTTTTCTTGACTTGGTGGTATAGGAAATATCTAAATGAATCCATCTGCGTTGCCCAGAAGACTTCAAATCTCCTGTATTTACTGAGCACATGCCAAGGATGCCAGTGGTCTGTACTCAGCTTTTCTATTATCTCAATGACATTAACATGGTCAGAAAAGTGCCCATACCCAAATGGCTGGCCTCCAGAGAAGTCCAGATTTAATTTCTTTTCCTATTTTTCCTATTATTATTATGGTAAACTGGTGTGAGTGAAAAGGAAATCAAGCAGACAAGCAGTAGTCTAACTTACAAGAAGCCAAATGTCCTTTACCACCATTCCTCCCACGACTGTGAAAATGTGTGCGGGGAATGTTATTGTTCATAATTCAGACAGCCTAGCTAAGTATTTTATCAGGTTAAGCAGCTAATAATGTTTAAGTCATGCTGTTAGGATATCCTGTTGTTGATTCACGAGGAAAAAAACAAAACAAAACAAAACAAAACAAAACAAAACAAAACAAAACAAAACAAAAAAAACAAAAAAAAAAAAAAAAACCAAGGCATGCTAAAAATATTTTACTGATCTCCTTGCTTAAGGACCTACCCAAACTTACGACCTCGGATAACACCCTTTCCTATATGTTTTACTGCATCTTCTTCTGAAGCGTGCATGCACACTCAGACACAGATATGGTCCAGGAAATGCTTCTGATCCCTCTAGCAGGCATGTAGCACTGTCTCTTTGCTGGGGTCCCATTGGCTACCCCTCCCTCCAGGTAAGCCCCAGCTACATGATTCTGGTCACAAAGATTTTCTCCTGCTCTGCAAGTTCTGGGAATGTTTCAAGCTGGGCCAGCCTGAACTATTCTCACTCTATTCTGGCAAAAGAAAAGAAAAAGTGCACCTTTTTAAGTATTTATTTTGTAATAACGTTCTTGCCTACTTGTCTACTGAATGTTTTTTCTGGATCTAAAGTCAGTATGTGCTAATTCAGAGTTAATGATCCACAGCATCTGAACTTGGCTTGCTCTTCTTTGAAGTTAGCCAAGTGGTGACCAGAGGACGTGCTCTGCATTCCAGGCAAACACCTAACCAGGAAGGCAGATTGTTTACTGAGTGTGAGTTTCCTCTCCATTGCCATCACTAGCCTGTGAGTGGTCTCCAGCTTGTGGAGTCTGCTGGCTTCAGTTCCTCCCTTTGCTCAAAGCAAAAGGAATTTGATTTTCTTGCAGTTACTATGAGGTGAGAATATCAGAATGATTGGTGCTGAAAAGATATAACGGCACAAAGAGCCAGAATGTGAAAAGGTTAAATCTCTGGTCACTGAAATGAAAAAAATAGGATTTAGCATGCAGAATAGCCACAAATGGCCTATTTCCACCACCCTTACTCACACAAGACAGTTATTTTGATTTATTCACTCATCTCCTAAAAATGTGTCTTGATTTCTTCCTTTCTGCATGTTTTAAAAATGTAATGATAAAAATAGGCAAATATAGTAACTCCCTTGGCAGTATTTGAAGGCCTGTAGCCTAGAATCAGTTAAAAAAAWGTTTAAGATCTTGCTGATCTCCCTCTTCTTTCTTTTTTGCCTTCTACAGTAAAAAGGGCCAATCATCCTGGCCTTATTGCCAGGTGGAGGGCAGAAAAATCATTTCAAATCGTAAGTGTATCCCAAAGCCAGTGTATCATGAGCAATGACTGTCTAGGGTCTGCTCCATTTGATGAAGCAATGTGATACCATGTGCATGTGTATCAAGAGAAGAGAGGAGTCTCTGAAATATGCGAATCCCAGGTCTTCYGCATGCTGATCTGCATGCTGATCACATCCATAAGATCAAAACAAAAATATTAAGATCTACCCAGAGCAAAAGTCCTAGAGCTTTCCCACAAAATGGTCTTGACAATGGACACATTGGCTGCAGGACAAGTTTTCAGTCTGCTTTGAGAAGCACCTGCATGTGATGTTTCAGCTGGACTTTGACTAAGCTGATACTCAGGGAATTACAGTTCTTCAGCTTCCTACAGCTCAGCCTGAGGAAGACCACAGCTGATTTCAAATCAGCAAAGACCTGTGCCAAATCCCAGTGAGTTCAAACACAACAGAACAAGGTTAACGGAATGATGTCCTATCTCAGGATGAGATATTCTTGTGATAGATGAGATGTGTCTGTATCAGCCTGAGAACTCTGTTTCTGTACTGTGATTTACACTGAGCCTCTCCTTTTGCAACTTAATTCCCATTTTGGATTAGCATAGCTGACTTGTATTACAGACTAACCTACAGCCTTGCTGTTGGCAATAAGCAGTCCTCAGCCATCATTTTAACTTACTTTTGATTTCTGACACCCCTTTAACCTGCACTGCTCAAGCAAATCCTGCTTAAGCAACAAGTGTGGCAAGTGTGAGAGCAGCAGTGAGACGAACTTTGTCTGGTGTTGGGTGTATGTGTAAGGCTCTCCTTTTTTATTGGGAACATACACCAGGAGTACAGAATCATCAACAACAGGCAGTTTTCACACACAAAAAAAGAATGCATAGGCTCAGAACTGTCGAGTGGAGAAACATGCTTTAACAAATTCAGTGGAGCCTGTCTCCCAGGCTAAGGCACTTGTGGCTAAGTTGGACTTAGCCTCTTAAGTTAGCTAAGACTATCTGGGGGAAGGCTCTGAAAAGCAGGCATGCTGTTGTTACTCTTTCACTTTGAGGAATTTTATATTCAATACAGCATTCTATTTTCATTTTGCAAACTGAATATTTCTCAGTGGTTACAGCATACTTTTTCTATCAAATTAAAAGAAAGACAGAAAGAATGTGTTTCCTGTTCTGTTAGCTTGTAAAACATGAAAGTTCTGCAGGATTTCAAGCTCAATAAGCTGAAGAACTCAGAAAGACTGTCATAGCCTGCTGTAATAGACAGCAAAGATATATGCTCGCTATGCTTCAAGAATCATTAAAATGSTTTCTTGTCTGGATGGATAGTGGCTTGCATATGCCTACATTTACAGATCTAACATCTGTCCATGCCCTGGAAATCCCGCTCATACAAAAAACCTTTTCAACTTTATATTCAAGAGCCTGCTGTAGGTAACACTTATTTGCTGGAATGCTTGGATCTGAATGGTTTTGTTGTTGGGTTTGGGAATTGTTGATAGTTATTTGCTTTTTCAGGAGGAYGTTTCCAAAACAAAAGACCTCACTTGTCACTTGTACTAGGAATTTGGTCAGAGACATTGACCTTCTTYCCCCTTTCCCCACTATGTTGTTATTATCCACTTCAGTGGCTTRCCATGGGATATCCCAAAAGACTCGTGTGCCCTGTGTCACAGCCATCAGGATCCCCGGCCTACAATTATAGACTCTGGGTCTTACCAAATAGCACAGGGCAGGGCAGCAAAGCCTAGAAGCTCTGGCTGCAGCTCAGCTCTTGAGGCCCCAGGGTCCATAGCACATACACCTCAACACTCTGGGGCGGCTGTCCCAAATGAAACTCCTTGGAAGCAACTGGGAAGGTCCTTCTGGCCAGCAGTTGTGGTTTGGGGGCGGTCAGGATCCTTTCTCCATGACGGTAAATGAAACCACCGCAGTAGCTGCTTAGTTTGGATGAGGAGGATGACTTGCACATTTCACTGAGACACTGAGAATAATTGTCAGTCTYTTGTCTTTCTTTTGACAGGTGACATGTTATACCTTAAACACCAAGTGTCAGCTGAAAGTAAAGAGTAACACGTGCTACTGCTGTGACCTATACAACTGTGAGAAGTAAGTACTTGTGTGCACTTAATGTTCTCTGAGAAATCCTTGACTGCTTGACACACAGCTCTAAAACTGATCACTCAGTCTCAGTCCCACCAGGATCTCCTGTTTATGCAATGCAATTTTCTCATGGGATTTAATGAATTCACTTTTTTCTACCAAACTATAGGAACATAGGATAACATAGGAGGAACATAAATAACATAAAGATTATATTGTAGACAAATGCAGAACTCTTCAGTTAGTATAAGCCTCTGTTTGCAAAGAATTTTATTGAATTGCCATAAGATAAATACAGCAGACCTTGTGAATGTCTCCTGAAGCTTTCCACTTGACTTCATCATTACAAAGAATGAGGTGAGAGAGGATAAGAAGGGATGAATTGTCTGGATATGCTTTTGAAGGTGAGCTGAAAGATAACACAGGGTTGCCATACAGCAATTTAGCAGGAATAAAAGGGTCATTAGGAAAACCACATCACAGCCAAGCTCAAGGTCTTATTATGTGGAAGACAAATAAAACAAACTCACAGAACTGACYGCACATCTGGCATGTACAGAATTCAACTGCAAGCAGTATCATGTCTTGCCACATATAAGAGGTGAGGGTTTCCCAGAACAGAGCCTCTGCCCAACTTGTTCTCTGCACACCTCCCTTTCATCTCATCATGCAACCTCCGTAACCCTCCACCATTTATTCACACTCCCTATTCTTTCTTTCCCTCTTTTTCCCTCCTTCTGGGATTGACCACCGCTGTGGCAATATCTAGTAAAGTAATTAAATATGTGCATTCTGCCAATGTCAGGAATCCAACATAAAGAGCACTATCTTATACRACTGACATGGATAAATCCAAAGTAAAGAGGTCATCTTCAGTCGAGCAACATCTGGGTTCATTTAGCAGGGCCCTAGTGTATCCAGTGATGGCTAAGCCACAGTGCCAGGACTATGCCCCACACCAAAAGACTTGGCATTTCCAGAAATGATTGTTTTGGGTTTGGATCTTCTCAGAAGTCTTGTGGGCTTCTCCATGCGGCCTGAAGAGCTTTCCCTACCAACCATCTCCACTACTGTCCCATATGCTGGAGAGGGGAACAGAAGGACACTTCACAAAGGGCTCATTCTGCTTTCCAGCATAATCTGATGTTAATTTCAAAACAATTGCAAAAGCAGACTTGGAGTCTAAARAAATCTTTTTATCTTAAACAGCTGCAATAGGAGCTTGGTAGTGGGCTAGCATTAAGGAGCATTCTGGGAAGGAGTGCAGGAAATTGTGTTTTCAAATTTTGTAGTAGGATGTTCCTCAGTTTCAACAACTTGAGGATTGACTTCACAGAATGCCAGATTTACAATATCCATTGCATTATTTACAACAGCCAGTGCAGAAATATAAACACAAATTTCAGGACAGAACAATGCACTGTTTAAAGGCACATCATTATGCTCCATTGTTCACAATGTCCATATGTCCATTAATACTCTACTCTGTGGCATCTGCTGATTTCGAACCACAGACACCATAATCAAATGCAGCTAGCTGGCAAAATCTCCTTTCCTTTGGTAGCATTAATGCTTAAGCAGCTTGCCTTCCCCATCTTTGGAAACAACGGCAGATTTTCAGGTGAGTAAAGCTGTAGCTTGTAGCTGGTAGCTACTCTGTAAGACATACAGTGGCAAGGGCTGCATCCTTGTTTGTGTCTGGAGATCTTTAGCCAAAGAATCCCTGCTGGTGCCAACACTGATCTGCCAAATTATTGCTGGGACTAACACTGCTGTTAGTTGAGCCAGTTTTTGTCTACAGTGACTTTCTCTGGTGCATCTGAGCAGTATTTGCACCTGGAAGTGGGATCATKGGTCAAGTACTTCACCAAAGAAAGCAAACAGGAGGGATTCAGGTCCTCTGCTGCTTGTGTTATGTGCAAAATGATTCCCTCAGTAATTATGTTGTTTCCATTCCCTTTCAGTTCAGAACAGTCCTCCAGCTACTATGAATTTCTTGGAGTGAGTAGCTGTCAAGATGTGGTTCACCTGTATAGGCTGCTGTGGTCCTCCACGGTCCTGAATATTATCGGGTTGTTTCTGGGGATTATTACAGCAGCCATTCTTGGGGCGTTTAAAGACATGGTAAGGCTCCCAGTTTTGTCTTCTGTGATGTCTGCTGTGCTTACTGGTATTTTCAAAAGGGTTACAAACAAAGGAAGCGTAAGTGTACAAAGGAAGCACTTTACACTTATTTCTCGGGTGATTTGGGAGTCTAGAGTGACAGCTTTAGGTTGATCCACCGCCAGCTGCTCACAGATAAGTAGGTCAGGTCTGGTCAATACATGAATAGATGGGAAAAAGCAGACGTCTATATGAACTCATGCTGGTGATTTACTTAGTAGTATCTTTTTTCTTTTTCTTTTGTTTTTGCTCTAATTCAGTAGTGAACATGTGGGCTAGCATGGAGTTGAAGGATGCTGGTATACAAATAACATGTAAAAGACAAGTCCTAGCTTGATTGAATCTTATGTAGTTCTTTCCCCAAGAATAGGGATTAATGCTGATGTACCAGTTAAGTTTTTATTTAAACAGTTGTATTCAGGTCACTTTAAYGTTCTCTGTTGTTTCTCTAAGAGAGCCATTCCTCACTGCTTCCTATGCCAGGCCATTACTTTGTGCTGATACACACTGCTGCGTTCAGAGGATTCTTCACACTAGGAGCATAGTGTGATTTTGTAAAACATTGCCATATGTTCTGACATGCCTGTTCCTGGATTATCGCTGTCGTTGTTCAGGATTACTACAGCAGTGCCTAAAGATCAACCAAGCRGCTCTCATTTTGCAGGGCACGCAGGGCACAGGGAGGACACGTGCCTGGGATGTTCTGCAGCTGTAYGAAGTGGAGTATGAGCTAACTAGGAGCTCAGGAGCAGTAGTGGCTGAATCTCCTCAGCCTGAGCAGACATTGTGACTGTTTCCTTTCATCACCGTGCCCCAGTTAATAGCTGTGCTCCCCTGTCTATCAGCCCTCTCTCTTCTTTACTACATATATGCCAGAGAAGATTGAGAGGAAAGGGATGATAATGTTGCAGGCTACCTGCAGCCTTGCTCCYGGCTGGCAAACCTCAGGAAGCTTCCTTGGGACGTGCTGGGGCCTGTTGTGCTCCTACCAGAGCACAGCACGGTGTCTGTGGCAACCTTGTTGCTGGGCTTTGCGTCCAGGAATAGCTAACCTGCAAACATGGAGCTGAGGAGGGCAAAAGCACAGTGCTTCGGCTTGGTGGCTTTTGTTAGGCTCTTGCGTGGTGCCAGGTATGTAAGAAAGCTCCTCACTTCTGTGTCATACAAATGACTGGTCTAATCACGGTGATGCCTGGGAAAGCATCACCCAGAATGTTCTTTGGATAACAGCTAACAGAGGCTGGAGCAGAAAGGACTGAGCAGCAGCTGACAGAAGACCTAGAAGTATTTTGTGAAGGACATTGGCCTTACTACTTAAAATATAWCCCTTTTCTTATATGCAATCAATCTTGTGCAGTAAGCACGTCCAGGCTATCCACAGCATGTGTCAGGGCGCTTAAAAATGATGTTAGAGCAGAGTCGTGTGAATTATCTGAAATTYGTTGTTGTTCTGAGATGCAAAACCTCTGTTGGAAACGTGCCTTTCTCCAGCACAAGGCAACCAACCTCACTTGGTCCCCACATGTAGAAACCAAGAGGGCTGTTGCAAAGAATGGACAGCAAACTGCAGTTGGCTGGTAATGAACACCAGTGGCTGCTTGACAGGAGGGTTTAAAAGCAGCTTTCCCAGCCTAACTCATCACCTCCCTCTGAGAGGAGTAATAGCAGAAGTGTGAATGGGGGGAAGAGCAGTGATAAGAARTGAGGAAGACAGATACCATCGACAGAGCTTTGACTGGACTGCAAAGCTTCCTGCTTCCCCCTTTCTGCTTTTTGTTGTTGTTTTTCTCTTCTTCAAGGCGGTCAGAATGTTTTTCAGTCGGTGCCCCTGAGGTGTGGGTCATCTGGAGTAGTGGCCAAGCTCTAAGTAGGCAAGAAAAGCACGAAGCAAAGGTTTGTTTCAGAGCAGTGTCCCCCACCAGCCTCCCGGGCCTCGCGCTGCCAGCTCTTCACACTTGGGTGGGTTGGACGGGTGCAGAGCGCCAGCTTGAAAGCCACGCAGTGCCTCACAGAAACTGAGCCTTACATGGGATTTAGGCCGACACAGTGTGAGCTCCGGCCCAAGCAAATCTCCATGCTGCTTGAGGTATCGCGGCGCTGCTCGAGGCAGGTGCCGGGGCTGTGGAGATTTTCCTGGGAGAACTGGAGTTTCCATGGCCTGACCCGCTGCCCGTGCTGGAAGGCAGGCCTGGTGTGAGCTGCGACGCAGCAGCGAAGAGCYGCGCGAAGGAGGGAAGGGAAGCGCGTGTGGCTTCCCGTGAGACGCTGGTCCGGAGCAGCGAGTCCGCCAGGATTCCGCTAAAGCCTGACCTGACTAAGCTGTTTGCTGTCTCCTCTGTGGCAGGAGTGGAAAAAAAGCCCTCACTAGCTTAAGGGGAAAGATGAGTTTGTGTCAATGACCTCAGTGCAGGAACCAAGCTGTGTTTGTGAGAGTGTTACCAAAGGAGTGATCCAAAACGAAGTGGCTGTTCCTTGCTCTGACCTGTGCTTTCTCGGGAGTCCTTTCTTGTTATCTACCATGACTGGCTTGCTGATCTGTTGTATCCTTCCTTTTGGAGGGCATAACTCTCGGGAGAAGTGAGGGTAGGACAATTGAAGAGGGACAGAAAGTGGCATGGGACTGAAACRAGAAAAGCATTAGAAATGTGTCGAGAACAGTTTTCTCTCCCTCAGGATGTTATCTACCCACAGAAATGCCAGTTGTGTTTTCCACAGAGAGTCCTAAAGCCCATCGAAATGCCTTGGGGGATGGCTCCAAGGTTGACTTCCAGAAAAGACAGGGCTAGGCTGACTAGTTAAAGAAAAAAACATCATGTTTATCTCTGGGGAATTCTTGCTGCCAAAACATATTACAAAGGAAAGAGTTTCCGAAACATGGTGCAGTTGCCTCTAGAGCTATTGCATTTCCTGGACAGTAAAAAATAATAATAGTGTTGTTTTGGTGCTTGTGGGTTTTCTTTCCTGTGACAAACTCCCTCTGGCCCCTGGCTTTGCTTCCCATGGTTTTGCTGCGTGCCAGAGAGCTCTGTTTGCTCCAAGGCAACTGCTTGGTCCTCTCCTCACCCTGAGGTGTAAGTGTCTCCTGTGCCATCTGCAGACCTGTCCTCTGTGACCGGCTGGGTGCAAGGTCTGCTCTTAGGATATGACAGGATCTTGGTTTCGGATCTACCGCATGCTGAGCTACTAAGCACTAKCAGGACGGCTACCTTAAAACTGCCTTTAACAAAGAGCAGGTTAAGATACAATGCAAATAGAAGCAGGTACTTACAGTACCCAAAATCGTCATTTCCTTTGCAAGACAGAGGTAAGGGAATGAGCAAAGAACTTAACTTGCTAGTGCATGGGGAAAGTCTCTTCCATGTTTCCAGTATTTATGTGCCGGCTTGTCGATGTTTTTCTGACACACCTCGCCAAGGAATCTGCCTGACCTATGTTTAGGGTTGTGTTAATCAGAAAGACCTCTGGTCCTGGTAGAATATGCCAACTTTTTCTTTTATTTTTTTTCCAAATGGGCTTCCAAAGGAAATCTAGATGGATTAAATACCTTGTCTCTCCTGTTATTTTCTTACCCTCTCAAAGAAAGTCAAAGCAGCAAAACAGACCCCAAACTACTTAGCTGCTTTCCACACATTGTCGGAATGTCTCGGCTCTCCTGTGACTAAAGGTAGAGCCTGATGTTGTRGATAATCCTAGCTCAGAAGTATATGTTTTGGCATTTGTCAGCAAGCTGAACTGTCTCATTCTGTCACTGCACAGCTGCGTGACATGGGGAGCAGCAGCGTGTGTGACCGAGTGCAAGGAGGCCACGCAGCACGGCCCGCGTTACCTCACGCTGCAGTTCMGGGCCATGCCAGCAGCGCCACAGGACATGATCAAGGAGTCAACTCGACTTTGATGGAAATGAGACTCCTTCCTTGATTTCACACAGTAGGAATAACATATGGAGGGATCAGCAGGAAAATCCACTTGACAAGTGAGGGGCAGCCTATGAAGGAGCAAGTGCTCTGGAGTGGGAGAAGGTCTTTGCAAATCCRTCTAAGAAAGCAGAGGAAAAGACACAAGGGCATCAGCCACTTGCTGATGCTGGCAGTGTGCAGCAAAATGTGAAAGACTGGGGTGTTTGGTGTTCAAGTGGAAGAAGAGGAGGTAAAAGCTGCATGCTGTGCTCTTTAGGTATCTCCCTTATGGAGTCCTGCCAGTGCCGTTGTAACTGATGCTAGGGGAGCACTGGCAGTCTTTTTGCAAGGGRAGAAGATTAAAATAGCTCTATAAGTCTAGCCAAGAAGTTCAGTCCAGATACAGTCTCCTCTCATTCTATCACTACTTGATTTTTGTAGTATTAGTATTATGTTGGAAAATAGAAAGCTTCTAAACGATTGGATCACTTGAACTAGGACCAGTTGCTGCTCCAGCTCTCTCTGCCGTGTGCTAATGTGTTGTTGTGTTTGGTGCTCAACAGGTACCGCTGTCCCAGATTGCTTTCAGTGCTGCACCTCCTCCTCAGATCCTGTACAACCCTGCTCAGCAGATCCTGACATATGCTGGATTTTGTCCTTCTGCAGCGACTATTTCTACATACCCATCCTTCCCGTTACCTCTTCAGGTATAGTACAAAAACCCACCGTTCTTACTCCATAAGAAAATCATGACCTGCTGCTCATTATGAATCCTGCAGTGGAAGATCTTCGCTCCTGTTGTACAGAATTTGACAGAAAAATTTACACACTTTATTCTTTACATGGGGAGACATAACAGATTAGGACTCTTCAGGTAGAAGGAAAACAAGAAAGGGGAGGAAGTAAGGAGTCTGTAAAGTCATGAGTGATATGGAAAAAAAAGTGACTTATTCATCACCCATGATTTTTCATTGCACGAAATTTTGGTAGCTTCAGTAAAACTATCAAATGGCAAGATAAGCCAGAAATAGGAAGGGCTTTAACACCCCAAAGAAGACTAAAATGTCACAAGATCCTGTGGAAGAATAGAAATGAGGGGTCGGGGACTAGTCCATAAATTGTGCTTCAGATCTTACCTGCAGCCTGAAGTCCCCAAAGGGCTGCCTGCCACAAGTACCAACAGGGGCTCCACAGCAGATAGAGCCCCCTTCTTTTAGTCTTCCCCTTGGCATCTCTTACTGACTACTGTTGAGGCACAGGCACAAAGCTGGCTGTACACTGTGTGACCTGAGGCTCAGTTCATTTGAGGCTGGMCGGAATGCAGGATGGAAAGTTGCATTTCTCTCCCCTTTGCAGGAGTGGATATAGCATGAGTGGAGTCAACTCTGCTTTGCGTTCTTCGGAAGGAAAAGGGCAGGTTGTGCTCTGAGCTTGCCCTGACTCCAGCTAGACTGGAAAGGGCAGTGAGTCATGCTGAGGATGGTGTTTGCTTTCCTCACCCAGTAGTCTGATGGCGAGGGAAAGGCCACAGGTTACAAGAGAGCTCTCGACCCTCCTTTGCCAGAGATGCTCAAACCTTCACCTCCCATTCCCATCCTAGCAGGGTCTGGACTAGCGCTGGTGGAGAAAGCTTCATCAWTCTCACTGGAGTTCTGTTACAGTAGTCACACCAAATGCTGAGACTCTGCAATCTCCGTGCCAGGATACATGTCTGGGGAGGTGGTGACCCAGGGACTGTTCTCAATGCTAATTACAGAAAATATGGAGGCAGCCATTTCATATTCATTTCTGCACTGCKATGCACCGCAGCAGGCAAGAGAGCTCCTGTGCATGTCTCCTGACAGGTGGGTTTGTAGCTGTTTGGACTGAGAGCACAAACAGACAACTGCTCGAATCTGCAGAGTTGTATCAAGGAGTATAACTGCCCTTCTCTTGAACCCGTGCTCAGCTACCTCTCACCTTGCACAATATTTAGGTATCTGCACCTAATCAGAGCCTGGGTTCTGGCACACATATGTTCTACAGGCCTGGGTGGACCCTCTTCCCACCCTCACTTATCTGGAAGGCCAGCAGTGTTCCTGTGCCATGCTAGGGCACTGTGCCTGGCACAGCTGACACCAGTCACCTGCTGCACATGGCTGCATTTGCCTGGTGCGACAAAAAGCACATGCATTGAAATAAAGAATATGGGGATGAGCTGTGAGTAACTAAATACACTGAAACTGTGAAGCAAGTATAGGTGTTCTCAGATTTACAAAGCACAGTAAGGATGTTTAGTCAACCTAGTGGCATGTTTCTACTTGACAGTGTAGTGCTAGACCACACGTTTTCTAACACTTTTTAATTGAAAACACTGCATATTTATATGAACTAACTGTGGACTACCTACCCACATCTGTATCTGGACAATATCTATTCTGGGTAGACAGGTGATGAGCTTGAGCAGTGGGAGATCCTCATCCAGCTGGGGAGTTGTTAGCATGTGTCTCACATGGGTTTAGCCCATACCATGTAACAGTCTCCCAGCAGCACCCAGGTCAGGAGACAGCCAGAAGGACAAACCTTTCCAAAAGGTCACTTATGCACAGTCACCCTGGCTTGGTGGCAAGAGTATGTCTGTTGGGAACAGATATGTGCTATGCTAGCTGGCCTCAAAGCCTCACAGCCAGAGAATAGCCCTTGGTGCATCTAATTTACTAACCTAAATTGCTCTGGGCACTTTCAGAGWCCACTGGTTGAGAGGAGAGAAAAAAAGCATACTCAGCTTTATTTTTAGCTGAAAAGCTGTGCTATTCTGCAGAGGTCAGTTAGCACATAGCCAAAACTAGAGAGAAAAAGAGATAAAAACAGAGGAGAGAAAGAATTAACTTGAAGAGATGCATGTAAGTAACTCTTTAGTCCTGCATCCACTGAGAAACAAATACATCATTATATTCGCCCCAAATTCCTAACATTTTTTCTTCTTAGAAGTCTTTTGCCTTCCAAAATAAACTCAAATCCTTTCACAGATATTTCTTTTTTTCCAAGAAGTGTGTTCATTTATCTTCTCTCCCCTTCGTAACAGAGGACAACATAACCAGCTGTCTGCAAGCCAGGAGAGGTGAGCGAGAAGCACTGAGTTCCAAAAGGGAAACTGCTGAATCCTTTTCCTGAGGAAAAAACATGGGGGGCAAACAGCCTCTCTACGTGAGCTAGTTATGTTGTATTTCAGAGAAAAATAATTACTGCATCAGTATAGTGAAGTCATTGTATAAGTAGAAGAAGGGAAATTCATAATAACCTTATATTTACCCTTTTGTAGATTTAACTAAGAAGCGTGCCTGATATGGATCAGTGAGACCCCTACATGTTGTCTGCTTCTCCTATTTGAGAACTGTGGACTGACTTCACAGGGCTGGAGCCTTTTCTAATCCACCTAATTGCCTCAAACAGTAAATAGCTGCTGAGTTTAGGCTATCACAACTCCTGCTCAGCTGTCCCTCATCCTTAAGGCAACTTCAGGGCCTGGGATTGACCTGGCTAGACACAAATGCTGGCTAACTGTAAATGCTGTTGGCATTTTAGGTATCTACTGCTGTGTGACATGCAATCTGATCTGTAGACCCTGTGTCACGTCTGTTCGSATGTCTGGGATATCTGATAACATCCCAAAAGAACGAGACACTTAAAAATGGGCAACTGAATGGAGTTCTAGGTGTCTGCTGTGTAGGTGTCTTCACCTGACCCAGTCTGCTCTTCAAGACCACAGAGAGAAACGGGCAGTTCTCACACAAAGATAATCTCAGCCTCTAGAAGATCTACGATGTGAGCAACACAAATGCATCCCCAAAGGCCTTTCTACTGACTAGTTGTGGAATTTGATTCCTACATTTCCCTATGCTCTGTACTTAAAAACCTGTGCTGTTGAGATCTTAATTTAGAAATCAAAATCGGAACCCTATCCTGGAATGCAGTTCAGTTATCTAAAAATAAYGTGCATGAAATGATCTCATGTTTTCACAGAATCCCAGAATGGTTGAGGTTGGCAGGGACCTCTAGAGATMGTTTAGTCCAACTCCCTGCTCCAGCAGGGACACCCAKAGCAYGGGGCACAGGGCGGCATCCAGGCGGGTTTGGAAGATCTCCAGAGAAGGAGACTCCACAGCCTCCCTGGGCAGCCTGTKCCAKGGCTCTGTCACCCTCACAGGAAAGAAGTTCCTCCTCACAGGGAGATGGAACTGCCTGTGCTTTAGTTTTTACCCATTACTCTTTGTCCTGTCACTGGCCACTATTGAGAATAGGTTTGAAGAGATCCAAACATGACCTAAGGTCTACACCAGACTGACACATATCCCTGGTCATGGAATCTGGCTGGGCACCCTTGGATGTAAACAACTTGCTTCCACGTAGGCCAGGAGCCCCCTGTGCCTCGGCAGTGCTGAGTCACTCAGGCCTGCGTGGCCACCTCAGCTCCCGGTGCGCTCTGAGGGCGGCACCTCAGCACAGGCCTGGTGTAGGGGACGTGGTGCTGCACACACGCCAGTGGGCACCGTGTGCCTGTGACGCCCACGTGGTGGCCGCCGCTCGTCTCCATGGTGGCCGCCGATCACCTCCAGGCCTCACCACTTTTGTAGTCACTTGGTTGTACAGCAGGACAGGCYCCAGGGCACAGCGCTCTCTGACCAGCCTTGCCCAGGGCCAGTGAAGGGCTGTGGTTGCGCCTCCTGGAAAGGTGTCCCAGCTCCTCAGCCGGGGTTTGTTCAGCCCGTGGCACTCCGGTGCATGCACTGCCACAAGCTGCATTAGTGCAGAGCATGAACCTCAGTGTTCACCTGGTGCTGCCACCACGGAACATCCTAGCCCCCTGCTGAATCCGGTATCTCACTGAGTAAATAACTGTTTTCTGGAAAGGAACAAAGAAAACCTTAAAAAAATAAATCACACAGCTGCTGTAGGAACACCTTAGTTTACTTTGTGCTTTCTYGTACACAAACAGAAAAATGCAAGAAAGGTGACAACAGGAATTCATTTTGACAAAGATGTGAGCCAGCTTTTCCTTATTTATTGTGGCCTGTGCCAACAGCGCTACTTTTGCTTTGCTGGCCAGCCCAGTTGCAGCTGGCTGTAGTTAAGGAGCTTGCCCACTGTCAGTAAGTGAGGGCAGGGGCTGCCGGTGGTGCCCGTCTTTCCTGATGAAGAAGAACATGTTATAGAAGCCATTCCAGGCAGACTGATGGATATGGTGGATGCAGTTTGTAGCGGGAAGAGTAGGGAATTAACAGCCRAATGCTAAGTCCCAGCCACTACTCTTAGAGTGGATCTGTGTAGTCAGCAGATCTGTAGGTCTCCAGTGCTGCCTCCAGGAGAGCTAAGGGGCAGGAACAATCTTCCCTCCACAGTCCCCATTCTCACCGTCCACAGAATCCATTCTCACCCTCTGGTGCCAGCGCAGGGCAGAGTCTCTTCCCCATGGGGGTTTAGTTCTTGGGGCTGCTTGCCCGGAGTCCCCTGAAGAAGCCAGTGCTGCTGCAGAGACCACCAGCCCTGTGAGGCCACAGGCTGAGCACCAGCCCTGGTTCTCTACGTGAGGACCACTTTCGTTTTGTTTTTCTTTTTTTGCATGGTTAGTGCCCCAAGACTGCTGTTTATTTGCCCAGATTTTTCATTTTCTTTTAAATGGATCCACGGTTACTACTCTTTGTTTTGCTTTTTGTTTTGTTTTTTAAATCCAGGCACTTTAGTCCTGAGCCTGATGGGAGCTGGGCACACAACTCTTCCAATGAAGCCCAAGGACTGGCATGTGTTGGCATATGAGGGGAGGTTGAAATGCTTGCCCTGAAATCAATGGCAAAAGTAGGCTTACATTGGTGGTGGGATTTTATCCAGAACATTAATTCCTTGGTGCATCCTTTGGATTTTAACAATCTGTGCTTGTTACTGAACGTGGGCTGCTTCCTCAAGTCTATTTTTCATGCCTCTTTTAGCCAAACCCGCTTGTAACTGCAACAGTCAAAGTGAAAGCTTTAGAAGGGGATACATGCTCACATGTAAAATTTTCTCTTAAAAGGAGTGTGCATTTGGCACCGCATTAAGATCTTGCATTTATGCATGTACTGTGGCTCTGAGATAATTTGGAGGCATCACTGTGAAGTTTAAATTATCAGCTACATGTAACCTAACCAGCCAGGCAGGTACAGTGAAGCAGCTGGAAGCCAGAGCATCCTTTCCTGCAGAAGATGCCCCTCTGTTGSATTGCCTAGCTGTATGCACAAATGCCTATTAAAAATTCCTTGGTTACAGATGTAATCTGTCTTGTTTCACTACACCCTGTAACTGCTATACCTAAGCACAGGCTTTAATACTCCAGTGAGTGTTGTGCTGCAATGCATGAGGAGTTTAGCTATCAGCAGAGTTATTATATAATACAAATACAGTAGATACTTAAATGAGAGTGGCAAATGGATTGTAATCCTTTATTGAAGAAGGTATTTTTCTTTGTCTATATACAGCCTGCCAGCAATTTTCCAGGAACATCATCTACTGACGTTTCTTTATCAGAAGAAACTCATCCTCCATCTCAGTCCAGCTCCAGCTACGGTCTTCCCCCCAATGCTCCGTCCCTCTATGCATCGACTTACTTCCTACCTGGAGAAAAGCCTCCACCGTACGCACCATAGACCAAAGGATTCCTTTCAAGTAGTTGGTAGCTCCTCTGGTTTTGAAGCTTTCGAAGCCCTGTGCAGGGCAGGCAGGCACTGGACTGGTCGAGGATCCCACCACAGTGTGTGTTACAGCCATGGTGCTTTAACCCTCAGCTCTCTGTGCGCTGAGCAGAACCGGGAAACGTCAGGGCAGGCACGTGGCCGCTGGGGCTACCAGTCACCGCTCACTTTGCCTGCAGGCAACTGCAGTTTTGCTTTCTAGTTAACATGAGTGAGTTTTTTCCTTCTCCTTGTACTGCAGAGTGGCTTTTCTTYGTGAGGAGAACGGAAGAAAACACTCTGCAAATGTGTCCTGTCCTCACAAGCCGATATAGAGAGGTTTTAGTCTGTGTTTTAGGTAGTTTGGAGCTCAGTCGCTCTGCATAGGAAGAGACCTGCTGTTTGTTTCCTTGTATTTATTTAATAACCCTTTTCCAGTGAAAGTGTTGTTCCAATAAAAGTGTGGCAACTATTTTACAACAAAATTTCCTGTCTATATTTGTGCTGCACCTAAGGCTGTGTAAAGACAGGAAAACTGGAGAGGTAAAACATCCTACCGAGTATTTTGCTCTGCCATGTTCCAAGCTCAAAGACTAATTTTACTGGTATTCTTTTTTATCTGAATTGTGTCACATCAGCGTGCTGTAGATGCAATTTCCCAACAGAAATTTACCCTGTACTTTTTAGTCTTGGAATATATTCCTGTCAAGTCATAACCACTGCGTGTTGATCCCAGCTATTTATTTAAACTGATCTAGACCTGGTTGAGCAGTTTTACAGCCACTGAAATAGAGCTGAGGAGGGCTCAGAAATGCAGCTCTCTGCTGCATTTCATGCAGGAGTGGCCACATAAGGTGAGAACCTGTCAGGTCACTGTGTCCCTGCACTATTTTCTGCTCATGGAGGAAGGATGGAGCTGCTTGCTCTACACATCTCGCAGTCTAGACAGCAGTGAAACTACAGTGAAACAAAGGCCGAAGAGCAAAGCAGGGAAAGAAACATGCTCTAAGCAGTTGCTTGGTCTTATGAATCAATGAAATAAACCTGTATAAACAAAACCAACCTCCTTGAGAGTTTCCTTTGTAAGAAAATGACACYATCAGACCAGCTGAGGATACAGCAATGATTGGAATGATTGGCCCTTTACATAATACTTTCTGCTTCTTGAGACATTTCTTTTAATTCATGTGCTGTACCTCTATTTACAAAATGCAGATTCAATACTAATAGAGATAAAAATCAGAGGCTGGTTCATATGGACCATAAAAAYCTCTCTTTGTTCAATTAAGTCATTTTAGGCTGCTAATAACAACATGGTSACTTATATGAATCTGGGAAGAGAAAAAAAAACAGAGAGGAGTCATCRTATTTTCAATTTAAACATGAGATTCATCAAAATGTTCAGTGTATGCTGAAAACAGTACACATCACCCTGGCCATGCACTTAGTGCTCAATTCTATCTTTTTGCTTACTAGGAATATTACCTGGGGAACTATTGCATTCCCTTTGGTGACTCAAAGCCTGGAACAGACTTGCTCCCCTGAGCTGAGTACCTAGACTGCCTCCAAAACAAAAATAAAATCAATGTTTCCCTTGTGCTGAAGTACCAGTGTTTGAGGGGGAATCGAGGGGCTGTGTTTATCACTTTTTTTTTCCTCTTCTCAAAATTGTATTTTGAAGCAGCTGCCTCCRGTGTACTAAAAACAATAAAGGTTGATGCAGAACAAAGTCCCCATACTGTAATTCTCCGTATTTATGAAGCCTAGACTTTGCTTCTAAGTTACCTTTAGGGTTAGGGCTCTTTCTTTACTCTTGTCTTTACAAAGTATATATGCATACATACACACATGTGCACAGTCCTACAGCAATTTTTAGTCTAAAAGGATTAAAATTCCAGTTTTGAAACAATACACAGTAAATTGGAAACTGCAGACTACTACTCTGTACCACAGGATCCGCATTTCCAGCATTCAAAATAATTCTGGCCTCTTAAATAATACCACTTATATTCACAAAAAGGTCAGACATATTTGTGATTCATTTATGCCACGTGATATTTTTTGGGCAACTATCACAGAAGTTACACAGAAATGCCAGGCATAAGACTATTTGGCTAGCATGGCTCTTCTGCAAAGAACAAAGTCTATAACACRGGGTTTGTTTCATCTACTTGGTTTAAAAAAATACTAGGTGTCTTCCATGCTTGTGCTGTTTGCACTAGAGCTACTCCAAGCTGAAAAAAATGGGAGGTGTATTTAGAAAAGCACTGCAATAACAAGGGAAAACAAACAGAAAACAAAGCACCACAGTGGGGAAGTGCTGTTAACCACAACACCTTCCATTTCTGCTGTCACTGAAAATATGAAGCTGACATTTTCTAAGTTCTCTGTCATATAAATAAATCCAGAGACATCAGCTCTAACAGCGCTCACAGTGATAACCTCACTTCCTTTGTTCAGAGAGAGAGAGAGAGAGAGAGAAGAAAAGAAAGGGAGAGAGAGAGGAAAAGAGAGAGAGAAAGGGAGGAAGGGAGAAGAGGGAGGAAGGGGGAGGAAGGGGGGGAGAGAGAGAGAAAGAGAGGAAGAGAGAGACGGGAAGAGAGAGACGGGAAGAGAGAGACGGGAAGAGAGAGACGGGAAGAGAGAGACGGGAAGAGAGAGACGGGAAGAGAGAGACGGGAAGAAGAAAAAAAAGAAGTAGAAGAGAAGAAGTAAAGAAGAGAAGAAGAAGAAGAGAAGTAAAGAAGAGAACCAGAAAAGGAGAAGAAGAGAAGGAAGAGGAGGAAGAGAAAGAAAAAAAAAAGCAGAAAGCAAACCCCCAAACTCCTGGGTTTCTCCTGGGTGCACCAATAAGCCTGTCCCTTTGTATTACTGTCCGGTTAGCAAACATCCCTTCAAACTTCTATCTCATCACGGGAAGGGTCTTTGTAGAGGTCCTCCCGCGTGTGAGAGGCAGGAGGCTGAAAGCAACGGAGCGCTCTGGGCGTTTCTGCCCTGCAGCGTTAGTGCTTTGCTGGTGAACGGAGGCCTCCCGCCAGTCGCGCAGGCTGCCGGCTAAGGCGGGAGCTGCCCTTTCTTGGCTGAGAAGGGCAGCGACTCTTACCGGGAAAGCCGCTTGCGGGACCTTTCCCCATCTCMCATCCTTTCTTCTGGGACCATTCCATCTCCACGGCTCGGGCATCCGTGCGGGTTTATGTGTGGATAACTAAGTTAATCTGTCACTTCTGTATTTGGCTAGGCAAAGCATTACACAGAATGACTAGGGACAATTTATAGAAGACCTTGTAGAATGAAACCTCTTCCATATTAAATATCTGAGGCACAGGATATCCTTAGGCACTCAGTATCAGGATTTCCACCACAGGAATATATATGGCTCTCAGTTTACTGCTCTAGATTGATATAAGATACCAATAAAGCAAGATTTCAAGTGTCCCTATGCATATCGGCAAAGTCCACTTGAGGTTCACAGGGAAACTCATGTTACTTGCTCAAAAGTTACATGTGTTTTATGGCTCCGCAGCCATTCCCAAGGAAATCCATGTGCATATTCTCACCACACTGCAATTCAGGCTGCCTCCCTTGCACAATCTCAAACCTCAGCACTCCCATTAGGCTCACAGTGAGCGAGCCAACAAAAAAAATAAAAGGCAAGAAAATGTCATCGCTGCATAATATTCCCCAATTCTTGACACCTCATCGTTTGCTTCAGTGGTTATTGACACCAGACCCAAATGGCTTTCTCCTTATTGAGTTTTCTTCTAATTGCTTCCTGCTGATCCAAGTTTGTTTTCCACTTTCTGTTGACCGAGAGCTTTTATAAAGGTCACAACTGAATGCATCCGAGGTACCAAAAAAGAAACTGTAATAGTAGTAATAATAGCAGCAATGATTTGCTCTCTAGCCTGCAGGATATACAATACTGGCATAAGGTTGTAAAAATAACCTCCAAACAAAAAGAAATTAGGAAAAAATACCTCCCAACATTGTTGTCTCCACCTCAGGCACAGCCTGATTCACTGTYCTGGGATTTCAGAATAAAGAATAATCTCAGCACAGGTAAATTAAAAAGTTGTATGCAAATATTTTATTCTCTCATATTTTGTAAATCAGAAAGCAGTGTTTGGTAATAAAAAATAATACAGCATTATTATTTTCTTCCAGTCCACACTTATATATTACCAGGCTTCCCACATTACAGACAAAACTGTCTCTTGCAGTCTAAACATAACATTCACTTTAGGTAGGTATATTCTGTACTTTTGGCTTATTTAATATTAGTCTTCTGAACTATTTACAAATATATTACAACCTTTAAACCTCAAAGCAAAGGAGTATTTCAATAATCAATTTGACGTAAGGATCAGTAGCTCCTACATAACTTCAGTGTTTAAGAGAAACTATACACGCAGTGCAGTAGGTCTGAATAATTTATATCTTAAAAAAAAAAGAAAAAAAAAAAAAGAAAAGCTTTGAAAGTTTCTGAATACAAAACCTTCGCATTGCAGTGGTACCTACTGACCCGCCTCAACRGGAGGACAAGAGTGGGATGTGATGTCACTGTGCTTGTAAAGAGCCTCATCCAAGTCCAGGGCCTTGTTGCCCAGCTTCACAGTCATGCAGCCGTGGTAGAACGCAGTGACCGGAGTTGAGGTGACGGCAACATCTGGGCAAAAGGGGAGACAGACATTTCTGAGGGGCCCTTGTGAATAAGCACCCGCCCCACCACACTCGGGTCATCACCGCTTTGAGCAATTCCGTGCTCAAATCCCACTGTTCCCCTCTGGGATGTCTCTCTTCCCCCGCCTCGTCTCGCAAGCGAGCCGGAGTATGCTTCCCAATGGAGGGAAGCGCCGCCGGCCCCRGCCTCGGCTGCTCTGCATCCACGTGAGCCTCCACTGCAGCTGAGCTGTGCTCCACGCTGCGCACAGCAGCACAGCTCCCCGCCCCYGGGTCCGAACTCTGTGTTCACGCTGCTTTTCCATGCCACTGTTTTTCCCCTTTCCACCTCTGAACCCTCCATTTTGTCCCTAATGGAGCTGCTCAATCTTYCACTAACAATCAGCCCTGTTGGTTCAGCCCATTTACGGAAGGATTACAGGAAGATCTTAAGCATAGGAAGGCCCTTAACCTTCCCCAAAGGCTACTAGTTTATTTACAGCTCAAAGCCGACCCAGTCAAGCTGGTTCTGCAATGGAAAGCCATGAATATTGCAGAGATTATTTAATCTCAGAGTGATTCAGGTAGCTAAACAACCCCCTTGTCCCTACACTGAAGCAAGGACAAATTGAACAATAGGTTCTTCTGTTAGTCTGAGATTATATGTAATTTAAGGAGTCCTGCCTGGGGACATGCAGGGCCAAATTCAAAGCTAACATAAGCAAACCCAGCTCACAGTGAGGACAGACAGATTAGGAMTGCAGGCAGAGGAAGTGTGGGATTTGCACACCACAATAAGAAACTATGAATTCTTCTATGAATTCTTCATCTTCCTTAACACCATAAAGGAATGGCTTGTTAAAATAAAATGATAAAATAAAATGATTTTAAGCAGTGAGTTGCTTAAAATAAAATGATTTCCTCYCTTTCCTGTTCCTTCCACTGGTTGCCAGATTTCACCAGCTTTATTACCTCATGCTGGAGAGGCGGACATTGATGCTATGGGACCTCACACGAATGTAAACAAAAACTTGACTTCGGGAATGRGCAGCCTTGCCTGAACAGCTTGAAAACTCATCTAAGGGATCRTGCAGATTGCACGTCTGCTATATGGGTTACTGAAGTGTGGGGGCTCTGAGATGGATTTGTACAATACTTCCAGAAAAAAAAATTCTTTGTCTTGTAATTGCAAATGAGGTCAAACATTCATTTTTCTGTTATAGCTCGAGATYGATTTGTCTCAGAAATGTGGTTCTGTAAATACTCAAAAGACTTGTTTAAACTCTCGTTCATCTGGTTGGTATATACACTTCCTGGAGAAATACTTAGGCACCATGTAAAATTAAGCAATTTAGGATTAATCTGGACTGACAATACCRCAGAAAGGTAGCAAATACATACATGTCCCCTCTTACCTCTTAAAACTCTTAAATGTTTCTATCATGTCTGCAATATTATCTGCACTTTTTGGTAGTATGGACATCTTGCATGTTTCAATCCTGGATCATTTCTTTACTCACGGTAAATGGAAACAAGAGATTAAGTGTGATTTTGCTTTTTCCAAAGGGTAAGAAAGCAGACGAAAACCAAAAACAACCTAATGTTATCAATATCTGAATGAGAAAACAGGGATCCCCAAGCTCACTCCAGTATGACTTTTTGATATAGCTATTTCACATAGAGTGAAGAAACCAAATAGTGTTAAAATGTTTATTAATTTGGAAAGTCAACAAGATTTCTCAGTGCAAGCATGGTGTTTCTCTCAATGACCAAAGCTGACCACAGGCAGAAATTTCTTTTGCTAAGTTCAGAGCTCAGATCCACGGGGCAAAGCAGCTAAATCTAAAGAAGCCAACCTGGTCTAGATGGCCATAACTACAATAGCTCACATGTAGTTCTAGCTACTGCTGAAGTAAACCATGAATAACTCAGAGCTACAGAATGGGACCGGTTTTTGAGCTGTGMAGGTCTCTGCCCTACATTTCAGAGCTTAAAAGAAAGCAGTTTACAGCTGTTGCTCATGCAATGCCTACTTGGACAATGTAATCCTGCAGCAAGTTTGCCAGCGAGCTGGGCTGCCCTTCAGAAGGACTTGGAGAGGCTGGAGAGCTGGGCAGAGAGGAACCTCATGAAGTTCAACAAAGGCAGGTGCTGGTTCCTGCACCTGGGAAGGGGAGGAATAAACCAGGATAGGCTGGGAGTGACCTGCTGAAGAGCAGCTCTGTGGAAAAGGRGATGGGCGTCCTGGTRGACAACAAGCTGACCAGGAGCCAGCAACGTGCCCTTGTGACCAGGAAGGTCAATGGGAAGGCCAAGTGCAATAGCAGAAACATTGCCAGCAAGTCGAGAGAGGTGMTGCTCCTCCTCTGCTCGGCCCTAGTGAAGGCGTATCGGGAGAAGGTGTCCAGTGCTGGGCTCCCCACCACAAGAGATATCTGCAGCTACTGGTATGAGTCCAGCAAAGGACTACCAAAATGATAAAGGAAGTGGAGTATCTGTCCTGTGAGGAGAGGCTGAGAGGAGCTCCAGGGCCTGTTCAGTGTGGAGAAGAGAAGGCTGACGGGGATCTTTACACTGTCTTTAAATATCTCATGGGAAGGTGTCGAGAGGATGGGGCATGGCCCTCCTCACTGATGCCCACTGACAAGACAAGAAGCAATGGGCACAAACCTGAACATAAGCAGTTCTATCTGAACATGAGAAAAGCTTCTTTACTGTGAAGATAAGAGAGGACAGGCACAGGTTGCCCAAAAGGGTTGCAGTATCTCCTTTCTTGGAGAGATTCCAAAGCCATCTGGATATGGTCATGCGCAGCCTGTGTTACGTGATCTTTTCTTGAGTAGGGAGGTTGGACTAGAGGATTGTTAAAGGTCCCTTCCACCCTCARCCATTCTGAGATTCCCATATTCTGTGAAAACATAAAAATTTTGGCAGCTCCTTGCTTATGCACTACCTACCTATTTCCTGTTGAGAAGAAATATGTTATTAATTGTGCACTGGTGCGATGAGTTCAAAGAGAGCATCAGCCAGTGAGAATCACCACAGTGGGCTTCTCAGGCTTCAGTGAGAACTGTGTGAAACCACTGGAACTAGTCATTTTATGAAACCACCTTTATACTAGGAGATTATGTAGATCTAGGAGTCAAGACTGCAAGATTTTAGAGACAAAAGGGCAGAAACCCTTAGGTACATGTTTTGAGAGTCTGGGGAACAGGTGCTGTGCACTACAGCATTAACCATGYAGTACTCAAAACAGCCTCCTGAGCCAACTTCTGAGAACACCCATCAAAACTGAGACATGTACCAAGACTTCAGAGGAGCACAGATGAGAACTGAGATTTCCCCAGGAGAAGTGCTTAAGCTAAGAAAATAGTACTCATAGCTCTCAAATAATGACATTTATGCATCCCTGCAGAAACCTACAGCACAAGTTCTATGGATTTTATGTTTTTAAGACAAGTACCCTGCTTATAGCTACCCTTCGGAAAAATCATTCCATAATGCTGACCAAACACAACCTACTCTTTCTATTTGCTTCCACCGGTCCTCAGAGGGATGCAATCACTTAAAAAAACAAAACATAACAAAACCAAGAAACCAAGTGGCTATTTTCTGACTGCCAGCTCAGTGAGGGGAGCGGGCGTCTGTATTCAGTGTCTCTGCTGCACACCTGGATGCTCACCTGGCAATCCTCCCACATATGTCTTCACCGTTGACTGCAACGAGTTCTCCAGGACAGACAGGCTCTCCTCTAGCTCAGAGGTACTTAATTCACTCTCCGCAGCTTTCTCATCTACAATCAAGGATAACTGATCCTTCTTGAGGAGGATGTCCACAGAGTGTTCCTTCTTATCGCAGAGATTTAGTGCCAGTCTGGACACAACCATGTTCTCCAAGGCCAAGATGATAAACTGAACAGCAGAACAGRGAGGAAAAGAACAAGGGAGTGAGCTGAAACATACCTAGGCACAGCTTCCCAGGGGCAGAGGAGCCCACTGTGCCCTTGTTTACAAAGAATTTGCAGAGCCACCAGAGCATTTGCCTTATTATTATCGCTGATCATGCTTTGAGCTCATTTGTACTGGAACTAAAAACAGAGTGAGACTGAGCTACTTCTGTCGGCTCATGAACTTCAGTGCAATTACTCCTGATTTACACTCATATCATGGCAGAATCTAGTCCATGATTTTATGATTATCAGTAAATGAGTAGCTTGTACTCCATTATAACTGGCCTTCCAGAGCACATGAAGYAACATCTAAGTCTGTTCCTTGACTACCTTGGAACTATCACTGATGGGTTCCAGAGTTTGAAAGTTCTTTGCTTATGGCATTAATWGCCTATATGCCAGGAAATTGTGAAAAAAAAATAAAAAATAAAAAAAACGCACCTTGGATTCAAGATACCAGTTAGACCTTTCACGCAGACCACATCTGCCAAGRGCTCCCCACTAGGCCTTAGTATATACCCGCGAGAAGCAGAACTACAGTGTTAGCCAAGCTTCTCATCCTCGATCCAGGTCCTGAACTGGTTAGTGCAAATAAGCACACAGTGTGGCAGGCAGCAAACCTGATGACCTGATGTTTTTTGAAAATAAATTGAGTTCCCGGGAAATAGCAATGCATCTTCTGTGGAAAAGACACTTAASTCTGTACCTGTTGTTTAAGTTTCTTTGTGGAGTGATAGTCAACCAAAGATAGTGACAAGGGGACAGATGCTTCTTCTGTAACCAGAGCAAAGAGCACACCAGTATCTGTCGCTGCTTGAATTACAGCATTTACTTCTATTCTCCAATCTGCCTTGGTTTCATTTCCAGAAGAAGGTTGCACTGCAAGAAAAGAAAGACATGGCAAGTCAAACATAGGACTAACAGGTCAAGTGGTAGGCAGTGTGATTGCCACCCGGAGAAAAGGATAGATGGGATGAGCATATGGAGAGATTTCTAGCTTTCTTTTATTCAAAAAAGTTAGGCCAAATGAACATATAATTAGAAAATAAAATAGCATGAGCTTTGTCTTGTTAACTTCCACGTTCTGCTGTCTCTCAAGTAAAAAATGGCAAGGTGAAGCTTTTTAATCACAAAGAGAGATTCAAATTTCCATGGCTGCCAATCCATCATACTCAAAGAACTGCTGCAAGACAGGACACCAATTTTCTATYTTTCTTGACTGTCAAAAGATGATTGAGGGATCTAAGGCCAAATCTGACACACAAGAAACAYTTCTACAAAAGTCTGTATTAAACTGAAAAAGCATGTAASTATGCCATATTCATCACCTAGTCASTACYTAATGATCAGTTACCRYATACTKGGGATGCTTGCTCAACTCTGAATTAAAAAATTGTTATTGAACCAATGCCCTTGCAATTTAAGAAGTGATGTTGGCTACAACAAAGGATTTAAATACTGTTTATAYGACCAGTAATTAAGTTCTCTATTTTTATGACCAGTAATTAACTTCTTCGWTTTTATGACCAGTAACTTCAATTCTTACTCTTGAAGAATGTCCCCAAAAGAGGATAATTGTTTGCAGAAAGAAAAATATATAAATACAGGCCATACTGTGGTATKTATGGTATACAGGCCATGATACTGAGGCCATATTTCTTCTGAATGTTCTCAACTCCACTTCTCCACTTCTGCATTTCTCTACTTTGCAGCTTTGGAATCTGTGGTAAACAAGATGACAAGACACCTGTTGCTGCCTAATCACAGTGGCACAACAGGAAAATCCACATGATGCTGCACAGAAGTTTTCTGGAGAGGAGGATGTGTACTAAAAGGACTTGAGCTAAAATAGATGGCTGGTACTTGTAATGGTTTAAAAATACTGACAGTTTATCACACATACAAACAGGATAATCTAGAACAAAGAAAAGGTGAAYTTCTGAGTGCTAATTCAGCATGGTTAAACTGGAATTGAAAATTGCTATTACTGCATCTAGCCCATTTCATCCAGTTCATATGCATGAGATGTTTAGTGTTTACCCAAAATGTTAACAGGTATCATCCAACAATTAAAAGTAAATTTGATCTTGGGTATTTTGCCAGAGACAATATTGATTTTCTGTCCCTCATAAACGCAACATGCAGCACTACAGCTTGCAGCTCTCCTTACTCAGGAGAAAACACTCGAGGGGACTGGAACCAGCTGCAGTGTTGATGGAGGGACTGTCTAGGCACCATCAACACCGATGAGCTGGGGCACATGCCAGCCCAGATGTCAAACGCCCTGTTGAAGCCGCAGAGAAGCTCCTCGGTGCTGGCCACACTGGCTCCAGGTAGCACTCACAGGCCTCCCTTCCTTGTGAACCACAAGTTCAGCTCTTCTCATTTAATCTATAGCTACCAGTACTTTCAGCATCTGCCACTAAAGGCTGCCACAGTTTATTTTTGTTCAACCAAGAATGTCTCCTGTGGCAGGACAGCACCTTAGAAATTAAAAAAAAATAAAAATTACTTACAGTAACTAAGATGAAATACAGCAAAACCTCGGCCAGGATAAAAGGATCCTCGTCCTGCTACAGAAAAGCACTGCATCTTCTCATTCATCTTTATGGTCTCTTGGATGGTGGTGTCCTCCCCATTCAGCCAATTCCATGCCCGCATGCAACCATCCAGCCGAGGGTTTATCTAGGAAGACAAAACAGTATCTTGGACCTTACACGGCTATCCAGTGAATAAGTGATTCCARGTGCAGGGGAAATTGTATAACATTAAGTAACAGTATGTTATTAAATATAAAGGGATATCATTTCAATGTTACCAGTATGTAACCCAACTTGCTGTAACCCCAACCCCACAGGTCCAAGCAAATAAGCAGTATTCCCCAGGGAATTCCCCAAATCAACTTGTATCCGCAGCAGCAAAGGGCACTTCTGGCTAATGCTGGCCCCGAGTTTGGCTGCATTGATTCTGTTAGCCACTTCTACATGTTATTCATCTTTTTAGCATTTACTTGTAAATCTTTGAAGCCAAGGTTTTTTACTGCCCATAATCCTGCATTGTAAATACTGGATGCTAACTTGAAATTGAAAAACAAAATCACATTTTGTGYCATTGCAAACAGCCTTCATGACCCACAGCATGCAGGACCTGGCCACGGTATAAACTGCCATATTCTGGCTTAAGGGAGGGGTTTCTGAGCCACAAGATGTGCCTAGTACTCTGTAAAAACCTTCTTCACTCCAGCTGCTAGTTATGTTTTCCTGAGCCCAAATGTTAGCACTAAAGTGCGACAGTATGTCAGGAGAATGCTTCTTGTAAAGCCTCTAAATCAGCAATATTATCCCCAATTAACTGAGGCAGGGAGAGAGTAAGTGGCCAAACYAGGATAAAAACCTTGGGAGTTTTTGGCTCTCTGTCCTGTGTTCAGACCACACCTCCAGTTTAATGTTTCAGACAAGCAGTGGCCCAGAATGACTTCTTGGGAGGAACAGAAGCYGCCCTCAGCTGCTGCATTTCCAGTCATGGAGCCACAGGCTTGTCACCTCATTTAAAAATAAGGAGATGCCAATCTTAGCTTCAAGGTGCCAGCTGTGTGTGTGTGCTAGACATTCAAAACAGACTGAGCAGTTGCTTTTCCAGAAATACAACCCATCAGCCCATTTCACCTAGAGTGCCTTTTATTTCTACACTCTAGATAAGGAAAGAAAGAAAAGCCCTCTTTTCCTTAGCGTCTAACTAAATATAGAGAAAAAAAGCCAGCAGTGCTAAGAGTATCATATAAATGAAGCACACATTTCAGTCACACTGCACAAAGTGCCCCTAACACTGCTCCGAGACCCAGCAGGCACGATCATGTCCTCACACAGACACAACACATCCGTGACTCACCTTCAAAGGCTTCACAGAATTATAGAATCATTAAGGCTGGAAAAGACCTTCAAGATCATCAAGTTCAGTCACAGGCCCTTCACCACCCTGCCTGCTAAACCATGTCCCTAAGCGCCTCATGTACACATTTCTTGAATTCTGCAGGGACGGTGACTCCACCACCACTCCACCTGCTCCAAGGCTTCACCTCTCCTTCCATGTAGAAATTCTTCATATAGTCTGACCTGAACCACCCCTGGTGCAACTTGAAGTAATTTCCTCTTGTCCTGTCGGTGGTTATTCCAGAGAAGAGACTGAGCCCTGCCTCACTACGACCTCCTTTCAGGTAGTTGTCATGACTTCATGACATCATGACTTCATGACATCATGACTTCATGACATCATGACTTCATGACATCATGAGCACTATTAGTCCTTTTTACCACATACTCCAGTTTTGCTGTGTCCTAATTCTGCAGGCTAAGCGTGGAACAGATCTCACCTCACGGCTCATCCATAGAAAAATCAGGAGTCTCCCCATTGCTCCTGGCTTAGGCTCCCTCTATTGTCAATGGAGAGAAATGGATATCCCAAAGGCGTCAACTTCTCCCCTTTCAGGGCAGGCTCAACCACTCTCAGGAAGGACCCACATTGCCCTCCTCAAAAAGATAAAGTCAAGTCCTTCTTATGTGCAACCCAACCCAAATGATCAGGCTATACTTACAGGTAGAATAAGGTCCTTCGTTTTGAACGGAATGCCTCCTACTGTCAAATTCAGCTGATACAATCCTTTGTCTAGGGTGAACAGGTTCCCCGAGACAGATATCTTCATAACCGCATCCCTGTTGACCTTTATAATCAAACTTCTCTCGAGTTCTTCAACAGAGATCTGAAGAGGTAAAGTTGTAAACAGAAAAAAAAATCAGTATAAAAAGAATTTAATACCTGCAATTTCAACTAAAGACAGCTACCACTTGTGAAATCACCAAGATGGAGAAATATATCCTGTCCTCGAGCCTCTTTATTCATCGTCAAGTTAAATTGCACCTTGGTATGTAAATCCTTCTAGAGGAATTTGGCATTGCTTAGGCAAAGACAGCCTAGCTACTTCAAAAGAGTTACATGAAAATTTACAAACGGATTAACTACTTGACATTTTTAAGTTGCTAAATAACAGTCTATACAAAATTTAAATGCAATAACGAGTTATTAATGAGTAACTTTCTATTGCAGTTGCATATGAAAGCAGAAGCTGGAAGGACAGCTCAGAGGATGTCTTTATTTGGACCAGTGAAGGATAACACAGAAGCTTTCCAATCACAGTTAGTCTACTCTTTAAACATGACCACTGGGAAGAAGGGGGAAAAAAAAAAAAAAGAACAGAAGATTGTATGTTTGAGAGGGCAATAAAAATCTACAGTAGGCAATAATTTTTGTTTCAAAAGGTCTAYGTCAGTTTTACCTCTACTTCTCTAAGGAGCTACTTTTAGGAAGAGTCTGTCACCACTGAATTTTCCWAAATTTGTCCTGATTTTTACTGAACTCTATTGAACTTTGAATTGCTACATTTAGGCTAATATATCACATTGGCACAAAGAACTGCCACAAGATTCCTCAGTGCAAAATAATTGCTCAGGCAGCACACAAAACAAAACCCTATAAAGCAGCCACCTCTGGGGAAGGGGAGGAGGAAGTCAGGCACACACCTGCTCTGTACCAGCCTGCTTGACGGTGGCGCAGTTTCTGCTACACACAGGACACTCTGGGGCCACGGCAGGAGGCAGCCTCTTTCCTCTTGTAGTGAAGAAGCAAGCAGTTATTTCCTGTCTTCACCACAGCACTCCTCCTTCCCACCATGTGATTGATGCTAATGCATCATCAGTAAAGGTCTGTTCCCTGGGACACCCACATATCTGATTTAAAACCTTCTGTCAGTCAATCACTGGATAGAAGCAAATATCTCATCAACAAGTTTAGCAGCTATTTAGGCTTGTTCTTCCCTCACCCTGTTAACAAGGTCAGGTCATGAGTATTCTTCTCTTTGCATTTTGTGAATGTCTGCCCAAAGATTGTTTCCATTAGCCAACCTGAGCTCCTTGACCGCGGATGTAGCGTCAAGTGAAACAGGGTTGGGCACGTGAATACTTGGATACTGTCCTTGGATCACTGTCTTTAGTAATGAAGATTAAGGGGATTTAATAGTTGAAAAGACTATTAACAGAAAATCAAACTCTTTCCTTCTCATTGCAGTACAGCCTGGTTTATATTATTAAAACCCTGCTTACATCTGAAGATTGCCCCATGCTGTATCCTGTAGGACAAGAATTTACTTAAGTTTGCCTGCTTAGAGTAGCATCTATGCTACCTCACTGTGTTCAGTGGAGACACATGAGCCASTTTCAAACAGTCTCTTAGGGTGCTGGCAGGGTGTGAAGGCCACTCAATAAGGTGGCAACATGAGCATGTGATCGGGTCCTGGCTGCCAAGGCCAAACTGGTTCAGGTACGGGAGTTAAAACTGTGTTTGGTGCCTCTATCCTGTGGCACCATGGTCATGTGCGCCTGACCATGGTCACCACCATCTGGCATGGCCTGTCTTCCTGTTCCTAGCAAAGACCACAGGCAACCACGGAACAACCAGGAGGGGAGGATGTGGAAAAGCTGGTTGAGGCTCTTCCAGTGGGCCCACTCTGCTTCCTCTGTGAAGAAAACCTTCAACTTCCAGGGTGACAAGTATTTCTAAAATGTTATTAGATGATATGAAAAAGAATAACATATAGATCTCAACTATATATTTTTTAAATTAGTCTAAGTTCTTATCTGCTTCTAATCTTTAAACTAACTAAATAAATGGAAAGTTTCACAGCAGAAGGGGTTAATCCCCATGGACATCCTTGAGAAATGCCCATTTAGGATTTGACACTCTGCCTATTCCACACTGCCCTCGGACACTTTCAGCTGCGGTTCCTTTTACTCCGAGCTTAGCTGCTGCTCMCCCTCCACCCCTACGAGGCAAAGCGGGAAGCGTTTCAGCCGCCTAATTCCCTCCTGCTGCTGCAAGGCTTAACTAACTCCCGCCGCGCTCAGCCTGCACGCTCTGAGGCTTTCAGGTGCTCAGCTGCAGAAGCTAAGTGCTCCCACACGGTTTGGCCATGGGGCAGTCAGCTTTGTGCTCCAATTTCATGCTCTGTATAGCTCATGGTGCACAGCCAGCCTGCCTGTGTTTTGCTGGAAAGCAAAGGGACAACACTGAAAAGGGATTAGCCTAGATACTGGCTTTATATTTGGCCTGGAAAGCTAAATAGGAGGCTGCTTATGATTGCTTAACTTCCAGCTCTGACATTTAACAGTGCAGGCAGCCGATTAGTTTTGCTAACTGTACTGTCCCTGTATCAGCACTAAACTAAATGCTGAAAATAACGCAAAATGTTGATTTGTTTCGGAAATGCAATACAAACAGAAGGCCGACAGAAGTCCTACCATCAATTCAGACATAAATAACTGCCTGAGCAGTTTTTCCTGAGGCTTGGTTGTTTGTGTTTCGATGCTGGGAACAAGCAGCTAAAAATAGAATATAGAAATCAACATCACAGAATACACCTGGGCAGGAATGTTGAYCTTCACTTTGGATGATGTCTTAGCATTTCCATGCAGTTGTGCAACTTTTGTTCAAGAGACCAAACCACATATGATCCTTGTGACTTTTTGATATGTTTTGCTTTTAAATAACGACTGTCTTTTCATCTGCTGGAAGTTAAAATATTACTGATWTCTCACAACTCACTGTAAAGTTCCTACATGGATCTGTTAGCAAAAGCACTGTTGCTGCTTTAGTGAAACTAAGGGCGTGATCCTGCACACACTAAAGCCCAAAGGAAAATCCCACAAGTGCATTTAATGAGCCAGAGTTATGACCTCTGAAGGTTGCTTGGGTTTGTACTTGTACAGAATACAAGGTTGAAAAGTACACAGTACACATACTTAAGTACACACTTAAAAGGCATGGGTAGCTACTTGTTTCAAAAAAGGAGCCATGTAAAACTGTATAACCCTTCCTAGAAAGGATCTTCAAGATTAAAACCATGCCTGACAGAGGAAACAGGGGAAATCAGGGAGGGGAAGAATGAGAGGATCATGTTTTCAGCTGTGTGGGCCATCCATGTATACTAAAGAGTATGGGGGACATACCCATACATACCTTTTATATATACACCCTATACCTTATATATAGATAYGACTTACACCTTATATATATATACCTTAGGGTATGGGGGATATACCCATGGGAGAGAGGGGGACACTGACTGTTAATCAGTAAAGAAGAAAACACCTGTAGAGCAGAGGCAAGGAGTAAGTAAAAGGAGAGAAGAAAGAAGAAACCAAGGACCGAGGACCACAGTGACTCAAGCAGCAGCCCAAGTCTCAGAGGTGAGTGAATAGTGAAGTCAAGAGACTAAATGTTCCTGCCTCTTCTTGCTGCACTAAGCAGACCGATCTCCAACAGGCAATTTCTTGATGCCAGTGGCACATGGGGAGAAGGCCTGCCACAGCTGAGTGGCAGCAGGCTGGCAGCTGTGTACCTGAAGATGCTATTTACTTTTAGCCTAGGGACTTAGCTCTGCCTGCACAGAGCAAACACAGCCTTTGCGCCGCTTGCCCTGTAACTCCAGCGCATTTGAGTATGTCTGTATTACTTAAAGAAAGCAAACTGCAGACATGCCTCCCAAAACTGATTCGGGAAAGTCTGTAATTACTTCCCAGAGAGCTCCAAGACCTAACAATTCTGTTACGCTCCTTCATTAAACAGTTTAGCCAGACAAGAACTGTTTTCTGCAATTGCCAAATTGCCCAGTAACATCAATTCCACTTTCTGCTTCTTCCTTCACCACTCTAAAGGCCAGGCTCTACCATCCCTCCCAGCACACAGTTATTGATTGGTGTATTTCAGATTAGCAGAATGAATCTTTAATTTAGTAAGAACTGGCTTGAGTCCACTCCCACCTGTAAAGATACAGCATGTTAACACAGTTTACCTGTAGCTTCACTGCATCTCTAACACTCTCCACTTGGAAGCTAAAATTCTTTCTTTCAGTAATAGCAAAGAACTGAATTAAACCTCACTTGATGTATTTGAAATATTACTAAATGTCAACAATTGGCAATACACACACTGAAGGACTTTATCTATCTGTTCATTAYGTAAAATCCTCATCTAGCATTGATCTTACTGTAGGAGGTTTTAGTGATCCTAACTGGTCATACCCAAGCATAGGATATTTGCCTAATGCTCAAGAGACACTCTGAGAAAGTGTCAAGAACATGAATCCCTACAAGCTCCAAAATAGAGCACATCTTCTTGTAAGATTCCTGGGATTATGTTTTTAGTAGACAGAGACTCAGATGTTTTCTAGTAGTTTATGGCTTTACACAGGATTTTAAATTGAGTATTTTGTATTTAAACAAGCCTAGAGAGTTTACGAAAGGACATTGCAGCATTAAGAAATCACGGGCCAGAACTCAGCCCGCTGGAAAAAAATGAAAGAAGCAAACAAAACAAAACAAAAAGCAAGAAAATCACCAACATAACCCCCTCAAAACCAAGACACCACACGTCAGGCAAGCCAGCCTTGGGAACTTCCTTAAATGAATGATGTTCTTCCCTTTCCCTCCCCTCCTACGCCCCTCCAGAGGGTGTCCTCCGGAACAGCTACAGCCAGCTTAGCACTCATCCGTCTCAGAGCAGGCACTCCTAGAGGAGGCCTCTTACTATGCTAACATCATGCAAACCAGTGAGGCATTTTCGTTTGCCCTGAATATAAAGAATAAATTCAACTTGTCAGAAGAAAAACCCCAGTACCCAGAACCTGGCTGCACAGACAGAGCCCGAGGAACACTCGAGGCAAGCGCTGGGCTCACGAGGGCCTGTACTCACTGTCTGCCACACGCCGTGGTTGATGAGCGGTCCGCTGCTGGTCACGCGGCCGATCCCGTTGTATTTCAGCTGCAGCTCTAGGCGGCCTTTGCGCAAAGCCAAGACTATCCACGTGCTGTCTTGACGGCCTCCAGCAAAGAAAAGGATACCTTCAGGATCAAAGGTTCTAAAGTCGAACTCAGCCACAAGTCTGACCACACAGGTGGCAAGAAATAAATTAGTTATGCAGAGTTCAGAAACCACAAAGTACTTTCCACACAGATAGCATTACTTCTAACACTTAGACTGCCCTTTTAAATTGTACTAGCTTTGAATGCATTTCAGACTTCAAAGTCTGAAGAAAGACTTCAACTGTCAGAGCTATTTTAACATAAAGTCGTAACTACAGAAAACATTACTGTTCTTCAGCAATTATCTTAGGAGCTCTGTGGTCAAGACTCCCCCTCTCAGTTACTGGTTTGGTTAACATCTAGCCTTGATAATCCAAATAATGACGATCAAATGATGATCATAAAAAAAATTAATGACTTGGCTACATTGCCTATATTAAAGCTGCCATTCAAAATTGTCCTCACCTTGTCAGTTGTTTCCTTTTAAAGCGCAGCCTGATAACAGGGGTTCCGCTGAACATCCTCCCCAGGTATAATGATTTAATACTTTTTGCAACAGCAAAAGGCACACATGGTATAATGTTCTATAATCAAAACAMATTTATTTTCCTTACAAAGCAGAAAGAAGAGAAGCAAAGAGGATGCCTTTTCTTCCTTTTCCTTTCAAACATATAGTAGCTATACATATAGTAGTTTAGGGCACTTTAAGGGATATCCTCTCTAGAGACAGTAATTTCAATCCTAAACACATTTCCTCCTTTCTCTCTTCCCTCCTCTTCATCCGCCAAGGAAGAATGTTTTCCCATTGCAAAATGAAATCATTCTCAAAAGGAACAGCCCATTTTCTCCTGCAGCATGGGACTCACACCAAAAAACTTGCTAGGAGCCTGCTATGGGTTAGCTTCTGTGGAAGCAGCCTGTGCCACTGAAGCCCACCCACCTCTACTGAGGGCAGCATGAAAGCATGAAGTGCAAGTGCTGCTCTGTAACTTACATCATATTCCCCCACACCTTTGCACCATCTTACTGGGGTAAATACAGAAAAGCTGGTGCAGCCAGGGGTAACTCACAGGCAAACAGGGGCCAGGCAGTGCTCTCACGGCCATGCTCTTAGTGGGATGGGATAGGAGAAGAGCTAGTGAAATGTCACGTGAACATCCTCTTGCTCAATGTTAACAAGACCCTCTTTCTCAGGAGRGCTGCATTCCTCATCAAAGTCTCCTTCCCAGCTCAAGTGACCTTAGCAGCRCAGTTCTCTTCTACTACTTGCTCAGCTCAAAAGGCTTTGGTGCAAAGCTTCATCAATTATTCTTAATTGCAAGCGTAAACGAAAAGTCTTTTCTGCAGCTACTGGAAAAAAGACCAATTCACCTCACATGTGTTCATGTCTTGGGAAAGTTTTACTCCCCCTCTGCCGTCACAGTGACAGGTGTAACTTCCTGGTGAGTTAACACAGGTCTGCTCACAGAGCTGCTCTTCACATTCATCTATATCTGCACAAAAACAGCAAAGGAGAGAAAAGAAAACAGAAACTTTCCGTCAGTGGGAAGGCTAGAAGAGGAACTCATCTTCTTGTGTGCTAGTTGAGAGCCCTAACTTCTAGATGAGGCCCTCTCCCTTCAAACCCCTTTCTGCTACTCCTGTGCTGACTGGTCCCTGCAGCTCAGGCTAGCAGGGACTACCTGCTCTGTTGGCTTCACTGCTACTCAGCCGCACTGGATACTTGTTGGACAAACAACAGCTGAATTTCTCATTGCTTTCTTTCCCTTTTTCCTTCTACTTCTTTCTTTTATCTTCTTCTTTTCCTTCTGCCTTTTTTTTTTTTTTCCTCAGCACACTCTTTTCCTTTGGCATGTTTTCAGCCGCTTCATAAACAAATGCAGGAAGACAAATTGTGATGGCCCACAGAGATCTCTTCAGGCACAGATAAACACCTCAAGCCCACAGGGCTCGTGGGTATGTGATTCAAGCCATTACACTGAATTAGCAAAAGGCAGGGAGCAATGCTGGTTTTGGAATATTTTCAAAACTCACTCAGTTGAAAAAGCTTGCAGGCTGTGTAGCCAGCATGACTCTGCATAGTCCCTGCATATTAAGCTCCCAGTTCAGAGAAATACCGTATGACAGATTTTGAAAGAACAACAGCTACTGCTCTGTTACTTCACGTGTAAGAGAGACCGCAATATGCACAGATGCTTCTGAGCTTCTTCCAGATCTTGTACTTGTCATAAATTTAAGAAAACTCAGAAATTTGAGCTTGTACAGCTTGATTCATGCCAAAGATAACTGCAAACTTCACATATTTGCTCACAAGGAGTGAAAGACAACAGAAGTCTAATGTCTAAGAAAGAAGCAGAAAATCTTTTAATAAAGTGTGCAGCTAAACTTCCATGTTTTTATAGCTTTAAAGCATGTAATAAATGCTAACATGATGTTATTTCATGATCTTACCTTGACAAGTCTTTCTCAGCTCATCATATCTGTAGCCTGCATCACAAAGACACTCATATGAGCTTATTAAATTCTTACAGTGAGCTTCTCCACAGATGTCTGCTGTTGCTGCGCATTCATCTATGTCTGCAAAAACAAGTAATTAAACAAGGCTGCTTCAGATGAACATAATCACTTCATAATCACTGTTTGCATAGCAGAGTGGGTTCAGGGTCAAGTGATGTGATTAGTATTTTGGCAACTGAAAAACTAGTATCTTTAAGTATCTCCCTTCAGTGTCAGCTAGCTATAAGAAGTGATTTCAGTTGTGCTTTCTGTCTTCAAGCCACTAACACTTTCTGGAAAAAAAAATGCAAAGTGGTCCGGAAGAAAAACTGTTAAAAAAACACCCTCCCCCAAAATCCAAAATGCCACTATGTTCAGGGGCATAAACTCCAAGACAAAAAGCAGAAATCAGGAAATGACAAAAGCAGCCTGATTTTAGCATAACACAGAAAGAACACTTAACAACCATAGAATTTTGTTCTCCTTCCTTACACCACCAAACAATCCTTTTTCCACACTTACAAAATGACCTAAACCTGATGTTCTGTAGTGATAAAGGAGAGCTGAGGAAGCTCAGTTTGCTACAAAGTCTTATATGAGATCCATGTGGGATTTTTCTATGGACATACTTAACGGGCTGGCACTGGAGGTTCCAAAAAACAAAAAAATGCTTTTCTACTGTGTTAACTAATATGCAGCAAAACCCTTGTATTCACAAAACATTTGCAGAATATTATGAGTTTCATATTTACTTCTATGTTCTAATACATGATAAAAYGGCAATTAAATGCTACATTTGGTAATCTTCCCACATCTGAGTGAACCAGTCTGTGTAGCCATGTAGGTTACAAAGCCTACTCTACAAATCCACAGACTGAAACTTTTTAGTGTTTCTATACTTAACTATAGGAATAAGCAGAAGGAAAATGACAAAATGACATCRAAGAAACATTCAAAAGTGAAGATATCAGCCTTGCTCTTGGCTTTTCTAAGTGGCTGACCTCATTTCTCCCCTCCCTTATAGAAAGGGATACCAGGTAAATTTTGCAATCGTAACTTTAAATGGTACAAGGGAGACACAAGTAAAATCCTGCTATTTGTCTTTTTTTCTGGTAGAATTAATGTTGCTCAGCTGAGGTGACTAAGCTGKTTAGTACTACATCATCACACTACCTGCAAGAGCTGTATATGCAGATGTGCTTGTTTTTTTTTTTTTTCCATGAATCATATAACACTAAAAGCCACACTCATTAATGAGTCTATATCACAGCATGCAGAAGAAACACTTCTAAAAATCCCAGAGGCTTAAGTTCTGTTGATATAAGTTCATTTCACAGTTTCAATCAGATACTTCTGATCCTTGATTTCTGTTCCCAACTGTTATGTAAACTAGTTGCCTCCCTTAAATAGGGCCTTTCTACAGCTATGAATATTTGATTACAGTCTTCCAGAAGAAATAAAAGCTCTATTCTCTGCACTTTACCCATCTGAATTTATAAGCTGCACATGTCAAAATTTAGGGGAAAAAAAAAACAAGCAGCACACAAAAGAAAAACAGCCAGCTCATATACTGCAACACAGTGAGACTGGAAGGAATGATAACAATGCATCTGGCCAGCCCTTCCTCCTTTTAATGTCAGGATATGAGGCGTGATCAGCTGGATCAAGTTAGCCCAATCCAAGCCCCAAATCCCCTGTGAATTACAGCAGGGTCAGAGCAGTGCAGTGTGACCACTGACAAGTCCAGGCTTGCACCGCTGGCTGGAGCACCGACTGCAACCGCAGCAGAGCACAGCTTCTAAAAACTACCAGCAGCAGCAGGGCTGGGTAGGAAGGAGACAGGGCCTCTCATCCCACTCAGCAGCCTGAAACGCAATCCCAAAGCACTGAGAATTTGCCAAATGAGCTGAAACAAAGCGAGAGGTCCAGAAAATCCTACCTTCACATGTTGTGCTGTCTTTAAGGGAATAACCACTGTAGCACGAACAACGGTAGCTGCCGATCTTGTTGAGGCAGATCTGGTTGCAGCCACCATGTTGCACGCTGCATTCATCGATATCTACATGAAAAGAAAGTGTTGGCGTCAGCTTTCCAGCTCTGTAAATAATCTGGAGAGTGGCAATGGGATAGGAATTCAGAAGGAGACAGTCCTAACAAGAAACATTGTTACATAACGTCACATATATTAAAAAAAGGGACAAAGATTTCAGTCAATCACTGCAAGTGCATTAATTCATGTTCATTTAATAACAGAAAGGTCAAAGAGGTAATCAAACTGACAAACTCCCTCACAACTGTGAGCATGTAGAACATTATTTTTAGTCACTGTGGAGGTGAACGCAAGTCCACCTGCAGAAGCAGACCTCTCTCTTTTCTAGAGAAAGAGATAACTAATATTTAAAATTATACTAATATCAGTAAGCTTTGATAAAAACTAGGACAAAACTTCTCTACTGCAAAACTCATCAGAACATAAAAATTATATATTTACAGGTATTGAGCACTGAGAGTGGAACTGCTCCACTGAATTTCAAGGTAAGAATCTGTTAAAATGAGTAAAGCCTGAGGCTCACCCTCTGTGAGCCTCATCTGGTCATTTTATCCTGCTTCTATAAATGGGAAAGTAGAGTTAGACAACTGGTAAAAGAGCAAGTTTCATGGCATTTTATAAGCAAAAGAGGGGCCATGCGTCAGATTGATCGGCTGCTGAGCCCTCAGAGCTGTTTGCCTACCCATCAGACAGCTATCACAAATGCCTAAATAAGCTGCTTGAGAGCRATTCCATCATTTTGCCCAATTGTTCAAAGTTTCCCACCAGAAATACAGATTTTGGTTTTCCCGATATCTTGGTGAGAACTGAATAGGATTTCTGGACATGATTTCTGGCAGTTACAGAGTTCTGGCAAGCAGAGGAGCAGTAGCCCCAGTAAGAAGCTTTGCATACAGAAAACACCAACAATAGGAAGAACTTCAATATTCCAGAAAGGACACAGAAAACCCTCTTGGGGACACAAACTCCTTGAAAAAACAAGCTGTTTCTAYCTCAATATTCCCCTTGGAATCAATGGGAACATGCAGCAACACATAACCGGACTTGGAATAAGGCCCTGTTGGCRAGATTGTAACATACTCATTTTGTCAATTTGTGCATCAACAGTGTAAGAACCCAGCTGTCTGCTAAAGGCTGCTGCTCTCCATTGCAATGGTGTCACAAAGCAGCATGGGCAGCTTGTCACGCTCTGCAATCCACTGCCATCTCTTAAATCAGGGTTAGCAGAAGCAGTTGAGGAAATGACCTTTGGAAAAACAGTACASCTTAAATTCTGCTATCCCTTTCAGAGGGGTAGGACAGAGAGTGAGGGCATGACTTCTTAGACTACCTCAACAAAATCAAGCTGAAATACACTAAGCTTGTTTAAAAAAAAAGACATTACAAAGTTATATGATGCATAGAAGGGTAAAAAAAACATGAGCACTATGTAATCCAGGTTCACTACCATAACTTCTGAGTATTTCAGCGGAGTATCAGTGAACATTTACAAGTATAGCAAAAATAGTTTGTCTTTGTAAAAGGCATCAGAGGTAACAAAACTTCAGGTTACCTTTTTCACAGGTTTTTCCCTGCCAGCCACGTTTGCATTCACAATAGAAGTCTCCCTTAAGATCTTCGCATCTGACAGTCCCCTCTTTGTGACAAGGATCGGGCGAACACTGGTTTGGCAAATCTGATTTAAATGAGCAATAAGAAAGGGAAACAAAAGAGAGTCATGCATGAAAATCACTGATAGCCTGAAATCCCAACTAATCCATTGAAATCAGTGACAATCTGATATCTCAACTTGTTTGCTAAAGTCAAGACACTTAAACAGCAATGAAATTGCTATTAGAAATACCTGACAAACTGGGAGCTAATTCCAAGTACTCACATGCTAAACAAGCTATGTCAAGAATTTGGCACAGCTTTGTGGTGGAATTCACATCATTATAAAAGGGAGTGAACTGCTACGCCCAATTTGAAGGAAACATCCTGAAAACAACTCAGTAGCTAATTTTTAAGAAAATGAAACTTTCCCCAATTTTGGAGAAAATAGAAAGAAGCCAGCAATTCAATACTCAGGGARGGAAGGATATTCTTTTCAGCTACTTCTCTAGCTTAGCTGAGGATCTCGTCCAGGGCTCCCAGGTTTTGCTGTTAGTAAAGAGCTATCTTTAATATTTTGGACAGAGCTGACCAATAGGCATTTCTGGTATGTAGAATGAAAATTAAAAAAAGGAAATACCAATGTGCTACCAGCAGAAGAATCAAACAACTTCCTCAGTTTGCAGGCAGCACAAAGCCCCTACAGGACCAACACAGAGTAAATGCTAGTGACACAGAGGTTCTGCCACTGGATTTTAAGGAAAGTTTCCAGAGGTGACAATGGGAATTCTCCAGGGAAAAAGACACCCCACTCCATCTTCACTGTGAGCCTTGGTGCCTCAGTGCGCAGGGAGAGGAATGGTTTTTAACTCAKCAATCTCAGCAGACTGAGAAAAGTTAAGACCTGGATTAACTCCTGCYTTTTTTCAGGACTATATTATTTCTGTATTTCTCTTAACTCCTCTGTGTTTACCCTGAAAGTCACCTTCATGACAGGCTGCACCAAAGCCAAAAACATTTCTGTGAGCGCAGACAGAAGCAACTCCCTTTGATGTACTTTATATAAAGCTTACAGCACTGTTGCTTGCAGTTGCTGTTTTAAATGTGAAGACAAAAACATTTCTGGATAGCAATGCTATCCAAGACAGGTGCTACATTAGGCGTAAAAATAAGGCAAAAGAATATATTGCAACGCTGCCTAATATTTGTAGAAGAGCTATCAGGAGAAAGTAGTCAAAAATCAGGCTGTATTGCGTGTTTCTTAATATTGTAACCCACAGCAGATGGCCCTTTCACTCAACTACACGAGCCTCTGCTACTCATAAACCTTGCAGTGTGAATTACATGAAGACTGAAGTTAGCAGTACAGACTGCTGCAATTTCTCCAGCCTAACATGGAGTGMTAATTTTGTACTTATTTTCTGGTTAGCACAATGAAAAATATGAAAGTTTTCTTTAGTCCTTTCTCTGTAAGGTAATAAATTGAGTTGCAGATACAAAAACTGTCTAGTGCAAGGTTAACAATGACCATGACAAGGATGACATGCAATGGCTGTCAATGAATATGGTCGCATAATCACTCAGGAAAAAAAAAAAAAAAAAAAAAAAAAAAAGAGTCTTTTTTAGTGCAGCACAGACTTAGCCTCACAGACATGGAAATGTGTTCAAAGTCGCTTGGTAACCCAAACGGGTCAACAGGGTCATGTACAACTTCTCTTGTGGAACCTCAGGCCTCCTCAAGAATCCCTCCTCAAACTGCATCCATCCTTATCTGTCTTGCAGAGCTAGATGGAAACAAAGATACTGCCCAGCAGAGTCCTGCCCTAKTGCAACACATGGTAGATGGCAGGAATAACCACAGGCATTTCTACTGCATCTGCACGAGGCTAAGAGTTTGTCCCTTTCCCCACGGGATTTGACAACGTGAGGCACAGTCCTACACTCTCCTAGGGGCTTCACAGCCATGTACTTGCACCAACTTCACTAAAGTTGCTCTAATTTACACKATTGTAAGAGAAATTGTAGCTCTTATTTCCATTCATTTACATTAGAGGAAAAGTACTAAAAGCAATTTAAAAAGTGACATGCATGGATATAACTCATAAATGAAGGCAAGAGAATGCAACTATCAATTCCATTCTGAGCTCTGTATGGAAACAAGATTTTACTTGAATACACTGCTGCTTCTACTTCATTACTCTGTACTGTATTTGTCGATATGCATGAATAGGGCAAATTAAAACTCCATGGGGAAAACACTGTGTTGTGAAGATTCCAACACTTGCTATTAAAAACAGACAACATAAGAATCACCCCACTGTGGATTTTAAGGACACATGAAATTTTGTTTCCCCCAAATATCCCAGAATTTATCAAGCTCTTTCAGAACCAAATCCCTAACTCCTACGTGGCCCACAGCATCTCTTTTAGAAAAAGATCCAGCGCTGCAGACCAAAGCATACTTGTCTGGGTGTGAAACAAGCGTCTAAACTCTTATGCAGTCAGTGGAGATCTAGCCCGTGCAATAAATGGGGTCCATACAGAGATTCAGTTCTCCGTACAGCCGACACCACTCGATAAACTGAGCCATTCCATAATCCAATGAGTACAGACTAGCTCTCCATTGACTGTAATGGGAYCTATTTCCCATGTAGGCCCTTGCACCCAGCCATCCGAATTCGGAGCTGAATCCTGCTCACAGCCCTGATTTAAAGACCTTATGAAGAACAGAATTCACAAATTCCACACTGAACTGTCTGATCAATGTCATGATTAAGATTTGTACCTTTTTTTTCCAGTATAAGCTTGGCTAATATTACCTTAATATCACCCTCCAGCCTTTGGACTCTGCTATGTCTTTGAATGCCAGATTCAGAAAGCCTTCTACTACCTGGCTTTGAGAGGACAAGGAGACTCTTAAGAAAAATAAAATATAAATGAGTCTTGCAGGCACAGGCCCACAGAGCTACATAGCCTTTTGGCAGCAACTGTGCAAAATTAACAGACACCTTGGAATCAGTTAAGCACCAGTCTGACATTCTTTCAGGCACATTTCAGACTGCTTCTCCTTTATGCTTCTCCTATGAAGTAACAACAGCTAGCAAAACCTCAACCATTTAAAATATTTTCATATTTTAATGAGAGAAAATAAAATCATTTACTTGCCAAACCACTGCCTCTGCAATGGCCCAAATTCCTAAAAACTATTATTCAGCTTTTTTTTTTTTTTTTTTTTTTAGTCTGCTTCTCCTTTATGCTTCTCCTATGAAGTAACAACAGCTAGCAAAACCTCAACCATTTAAAATATTTTCATATTTTAATGAGAGAAAATAAAATCATTTACTTGCCAAACCACTGCCTCTGCAATGGCCCAAATTCCTAAAAACTATTATTCAGCTTTTTTTTTTTTTTTTTTTTTTTTATTTCAGTACCCAGGGAACATGATTACCCATTAGACCTGCGTTTCTACAACACTGCTGAGCCACCTGGAGCAAGGGTTTCCAGTGGGTACCACTACTTTTCAGCAGCAACCCGCACCTCTTCACTTCACCACACACCCCAAGAAAAGGAAGTAGAGGAATACTCCTCAACTGCCACACAGACGTCTGTACAACAACCTCCAAASTGATTATACACTGAATTTTTAAAGGTGGTAATATTGAAACCATGATGACATGATGGCTGAACCTGACTTCTTTGACAGAAAACTGTCAGAGTTATGCACAAATATGGGTATGACTTTTTAAAGGTTACTGAACAGGGCAAGCTGAACTTAACATTGAAGAACAAGTAAAACAAAGGGAATGATGCACARTGCACAAGCTTTTGGTAAAGCCTATTTCTTGTCTCTCTTGCTTCTCATATCCCTCAGACTCTGGGAAAGTGGTGGGAAAGAAATGCCTCACCTCCTGAAATACCACATCACTGAAAGACAACAGATAGTTGACAATACGTTCTAAAAGGGACAATGTAGGAAAAATAGCAGAGTCTTGAGTACAGAGAATAGGAAGGAAAGCACTAAAATACTGGGAAAAATGGAGATGACTGAGGTGGTTCCACTAGTTCAAATACAGTGATAGATACAAGTAGTTACAATATAAAAAMGCTTACTATGAACGCATGTAAGGAAATCTGTCCTTGTTGAATGCAGTGACCCATATTTCTGAATACAAGCTGAAGAACAGAAAATGAAATCATTATTGTTATAATGATTGCATGGCAGCTGTTTAAAGCATATAATCTCTTATCTGGCCTGCTGATGTTTCATTAAGTAAACTTTTGGAGACTCAGTGCAAACCCTCTGCGATATTGTAGTCTCCCAGATGCCTTAAAACTCATCAGCTCATAGAAAGTTTTAGCTCTGACCTACAGGAGCACAATCATTTTACCAGATGCTACTATGATTCTACAAGTGTGTTAGTAGCTGCTCAAATTTGACCTACAAAAGAGCAACAATCTCTTTTAAATCTAAAAAGCACATGGAGTTTTCTAAAACTGACATCTGTGGTCTTAAGTACTACGCATTAAGCACAAACAGAAAATAATGTTGGCATGACAGTCATAAAGTCAATACAATAAGCCAATGGATCAAGCATCAATAAAAGTATTTTTAAGAAGATTAGTCATTAGTGCAGGTGGTTACAAAGGAAAAAAGATAGAAGACTTTGCACTGCCCACAAAAGCTGCAAGCTACAGACATAAGTAAATGCAACATTAATACACATTCTAACATGCAGAAAACATATGCCGAATCTCTGTGAGAAAATTATASATATGTAAAAACACACACACCCCTCCAAATTACGTAAGGAACATACTTCTATTTTAGAAATTAGAATTGCATTTTTATTGCAATTTCCATCACATTCCTTACAAGAGCCTTTAGCTGTAATCAGCCTCAGCATTAGGCACCACATACGTGCACTGCCACACATCAGCACTGCCACAGATGGAAAGGAAGAGCCGCAACTCACCCAAGTATCTCGGGTAAAAATATTCCTGTAGGAAACAGAAAAAAAAATACAAAAGACTTACTGGAATAACACTTGTTCTGYTATTGTTTATTCTATTAGTATTTAACAACTGTTGATAGTTCAGTGGTATTCCACGGTAGTTACACGACAAGATTCCAACAAAAAATCTTAATTGTTTTTATTTGSAGTTGGAGGACATACAATGTTGTAGGTGCGTGGGGTGTCATGACAGAGGCATGCAACATCTGCTGCAGTCTCCATATGCTTTTTTATTATTATTATTTTGACACGACCCGTTCAGTGGCTCTGGCAGTGACTATCCAAGAGGTAACGGTGCTGATCATCACAAGTGGTAGAGGAAGGAAGAGAAACACAAAGATTAAAAAATAGAGGGAAACTACAGAATCACCCACTCCCCCAGGGCCTCCTTGGCATACAAACTGATGCACAAACTGGCAGCACCATAACCACTGAACTAGAAGGGGACATTTTGCTTTCGTAACAACAAGCACACTGCAGTTGTTATAGGACCCACTGCCATACTGCCCATTAGGAACCCCTGTCACCCAAAAACGGGAACACTGCGAACTTGCAAGGGAGGGGAAAGCAGGGATCATCAGAGTTGCTTGTTTCAGAAAGGTCTAAATAGACATTTAGAAGTTTTATAAGGGCAAAAATGGCCTGAGAAATGCAGTTTCACAACAAACTTCCATTGATCTAAAACTTAATTGAAAAAGGCACTGCCACCCTTCTCACGCTCCACTGCCACCCATTACTGCTTCCTGCCTGTGTCAACACACTGTAGCCAGACAGTCACACCAACAGTTGGCTGATATGATATGGATATAAGCTTTTGCAGTAGAAAAATCTTCAGCCAAGTGAGATCTTGCCAGCTGCATGTTGCTTGCACCAGCACAGAGAAAAGCCAGGAAAACGCATGGAAGGGGGGAACTTGGCCTGTACTTCCACATGTGCACACCACACAGACAAGCACACTCTATTGAGTCGATTCACACTGGACAGTCTAAGGTAATTACCTAGTAGACAAGGTCATACAACCTAAGTTTTGCATTGCTATCCTCCTTCAGAAATAAATAAATAATAATTTGCTGTTGACAAATATGCCCCAGTAATTGAAATTCMCCATATAAATATTCAGCATAAATCAAGAAAGCTTCAATAAAAAAGAAGCTGAAGATGCAGTTCACACTTGACCACTTAACTTGGAAAGACCAAGGCAAAAAAARATCAAAAGTAAATCTAAAAAGTCTAATGAGTACCCAGCTTGGCTGTAACCACAACCTGAACCTCAGCCAGCATTTAAGGAGAAAAAGAGCTGCGTGAGAAAAAGACAGCTGCACATGATAAGCTTTTCCAAAGGGCTTGTCTGTTTGTTTATCATTATTTCCCCTTTATTTATGTCCCCAAATTGTGCAGATGTATTTWACTACGAACACTAGGCTTATTCAAATAGTGACCAGAACAACTTTTTCTGCACTGAAAAGATAAGAAGCCGAAACTTTTGTAATCATGAATGTCAAGCTTATTGTCCAGAGTCAGTATGGACAAAGACCTAAAACTCTATTTTCACTTTTGAACTGTGATAAACTGTGAAAAAAGAGGGGAGTGCTAGGAAAAAAAAAAAAGTGTAATATTGTTTTTAAATGAACACTAAGGAAATCAGTTGTTTTGGCTTCAGGCACAAAGCACAGAYTTGGGGCAAAACATTTGCCGTGTCGGTTTAGGGAGCCAGCGAATAGCACAGCCCTCGTGCCTCTGCTGCTACTGACTTGCTCAAAGAGTGGGAGAGGGAAACTCTGAGGCTTTGTGCCACCATGAGTTTCATTTCATGAGGTAGGTAGTGGAGTAATTTAAACACAAGACTGTTAATGTAAATTTAACACTTCTTTTCCTGTCTTTTTTCGTCTGTTTATGTTATGCAAAACTCCTTCTGATTAGTACTATTGCTCCAAGCCTACAATTAAATCTATTYGAAAACAACACAGCTATCACTTTATCTAAGACATCATCTGTCAGCAAGTAATCTAACATTACTCACTATTGTATCATTAACTTCTCACTTTTCTTCCTTACAATAGGGACTTCTGGAGCTGTAAGAGCAACAACAGACTTCATTACAACAGAATTCTAGAACAATAATGGCAACAACATTCCATTTAGCCAAAAAAACAGTCAAGAATGAAGAATGAATTATTTCTAGTTTTCCCGAGAAAATGAATTTACTCGAAGTCGGAGTAGTAGTCATTTTTCAGAAAACACTGATAAAAAGTCTGCCCACTTAGAAATTCGGGTTGCACCTAGCCTACACAGAGAGACAGCCAGATACGCTTGATCTTCAGCGCAAGCACTTGACCCTACCATATCTTTTCACAGATTTCTGTGCATTCTGTGCTAAGTCCCAATGACACAGGGATCTCGGAGAAGACAGAATCTCGGCACTATACAGGATCAGGTCCCTATTAAAAGTCTCAGGCTTGTCTTCCCTCCACTAGAAGTCCTCCATCTCACCTTCAGGATGCAACAAAAATGCCAACAGAAATGCTTTGATGTTTGCAAGCAAGAAGGTCAGAATATCAAAAAGTATGGCAAAATATTCACTTGTTACTAATTTGCTCTCTTCACACCTACTCACCTTAAACTTCAGTCTGTGAACCCTTTAGATGTGCTATCGTAATTACTGCTAAAAATAAAATTGCAAGGAAAAGAGAGAGAGGCTTTTTTCATAAAAACCTTTAAGCAAGTATGTATTGGACATAAACATCTTCTGTACAGGCTCTCGTAGACACCAACCTCATCAAGCTTTATAATTTAKAATTCCATGCAACAATAACATCTCAGAGCAAATGGGAGGAGGTCAAATATGCCGTGTCCTAGACCTGACGGGAGCACCAACCTCCACCTGAGAGCAGCCTTCAAGAGATCTCATTTGGACAATTTAAACCTCTCTGTTTGCTCCTATCAAAATGCCCTGAAAGCATTTCCACGCCTGCTTCTTGTGACCCGGCACACCTTCTGGTTCCAGTGTATCAGCTAGCAAGCCTGCACAATGTCAGAAGCCTCTGTCTTCAGTGGACTGGCATCAGGAAACCTGGAGACTACAGACCTGCCTGGACTTAGTTACGTACAACTTGGCAAGTGCCATCAAGCACAGTACAAATCAGCAGGGAATTTAGGAAGAGAAGGACAAATAGGAGGGAGTGAGAAGTGCCTGGCATCTACAAGGCTCCACCTTTCCAGTGAAGTGGAAAAACATGGCATGAGGCCAGACCTCCAGATAGGTCCTTGCTTGCTTCTTCCGGCTCAATTCAAGATATTTGTGTGTGTGTCTGTCTGTCTGTCCAGGAGACAGAAGTGTCCTTTTAATAAAGAAGATTTAAGGCTTTACAACTGTCATCCCTTCCACTCAGGCACACATGCTAGGCGAGTCTTTTGATGCACTAAACAAAATTACTTGGAAGATTCCCAGAATTCAGCATAGCAAGATCTAGGGGTATTTGCTTTTATCTCAGGTAGAGTGACACAAAAAACACTTTATTCAGGTGCTTATTCAGGTGCATCCTCAGCCACAGCTACTCACAGTGATTCCAAAACTTTGTGGGGTGTCTAGAAAGAGGAGAGAGCTCAAGCTTAAAAGTGTCCTAAAATAAAACAAAATGAAACAACCAACCAAAAAACAATCCCCCAGGCTATTGGCCTTGGCATTTGTTTATTCTTTCAAACATGAATGGTTGAGTGAGACAGTYAGGAATAACTGCTGTGGAGGGAGCCCCATGACACCCTGTACTGCTGACACAACAGAGTAGAACACRAAGGTAACTATGCACGGCAGGGCCAGAGAACTGAAGGGGCACAAGTACTTCAACAAATTTCCCTGCCAGAGGAAATGTACCACGTTCTCAGCCTGTTCAAAACTCTATGGCCAAGCTCACCCTCAGCAGCACRGTCCAGAATTAGTGAAATTATACTGGGTAGGCATTTGTTCTGCCACATTTTCGGAGAAGATGGAAGAACACCAAATCAGACCAGTCCTTCCATGAGTCATTGTATATAAATAGTCCTTGTGAAAACATAACAAAGACCCTGTCTACACCAGGAAAATGTTCTCCCTGTTGCCTAAAGTGATTGGCAACAGTAGAAAACTCAGCTAAAAGTCTGCCAACTGCTTCTGTTTGTTTTGCTTGAGTACCAGGTCAGGTAACCCTGATCAACATTGAATTTAATCAGCATCATGTTTGAGCTGTACTGACAGCTGGTAAAACGTCTGTGCCAGGACTGCAATATTGCTAAGACCAGRGGATCTAATAGATTTGTGTTAGCAATGGTAATTTCTAAAAGGTATTTGCTTAGGGCAAACAGGCTACTCAGACTCTGACAACACCCAAGTTGCCAGTATTGCAAAAACAAAGCCAACAAGCACCCCATCAAGCACATTGCAGGTCTTCTTCAGACATGGARAAGCATAAAAAGGCACAACTCCATATAACTTTATCTCACAGCTCCCCTCTAGAACCCTTTAGAAATAAAGTACAGAAATACAAAGTTTGTGTCACAACACAGAGATTTCCTAGTAGTAAAAATTTCATTTGCCTAGAGCATTATTGCTGCTTCTGTAGACCCACAGCTTCTGCAGAGTAACTTATTAATTGATGTTTATGTCCATTTGTTACCTCTTACAGTGAAGTGACAGCTTCCACATGATGCCCTTTTCGCATAGCTACACAATGACTCTCTCCTTTCCGCTTTCTTTAGGGATTAAATATTCGTTTTAGGCACAGCATGACCTTGTTTATAAATASAGTTTATGTTTGCAGACTGCAGGCCTGCCCTATCCTAACAAAGAAATAGCCATTGCTAATCTTAATTGGCTGTAACTTACTACTTGACTTGGGTTGTTTAACTGTTACACTTCAGGAAAGCAAATCTCACTAATGCACAAGAGCTTCCCATCCTACTTCTTTTTACTTTGGCCCTGGGCTTTTCATGCACCACAGATCTCATGCTGAA